GTTAAATGTCCCGACCCTCCTTTTTGGCCTGTCTATTTAATTAACACGCACACGTTCACACACAGAGAAAGAGAATGAGAGATGAGAGAGCACCGAAAAAAAAATCTAGTTAAAAGTTTTTCTACTCTGAGCAGGATTGGCAAATTAATTTGGCGCCCTTTTGGCCGTGGCTCTAACTCGCCCATAAACTTCTAATTGGCAGCACATTCCGCATACGCCGCGTTGGCCCATGCAAAAAAAAAATGGAAAACTTTTCATCCCCAGCCTGCCAGGGATGAAACCCAGAAACCAAAATAGACACACACCAAAAAAAAATGCAACGAAGGGTAAAAAAGTTTGACGTTTTGTGGGTGGAAAAGTTATAATAGATTTTTAGTTTCACTCATTTAGTTTAAAATAATTTGGATGATGGCTAGAATGGCTAGGATAGACAACTATTTTCCTTCGACTAAACTGAATCATTTGTAGTTATGCCCCAAGTTGACTTTTCCCACAACATGCGCAGATGGAATGGAATTGTTTTAAATGAAGGGGAGTCTACAGGAATTGTGTAAACAATTTACAAAAACTATTTAAAACTCAATTTGAAAATAATGGCTTAACATAGATTATTTAACAAAGAATTCTTTTTTAAAGGACTTTAAATTATTTAAGCTTGTGGTTTAAAATGATATTCCATTATTCTCATCCACTTTATCAGCTTAATCTCTATCTGCGTCTTCTATTTTGGCCAAAACTCAATTAAATTTGTTTATTCATTTCCAAAACTAATCCGGCTGTTTAATGTGTTCAACTTGGCCAAAATGCTCATACATCTTGGCCAGAATTCGCTTGCTCTATCTCCTTGAGTTCGCCCGAGGAGAAAACTTTGTTGTTCTTGCTGCTGGTCCTTGGATCGTCTCCTGGCTTTCGCCCACACCGCTTTCCACGCCTGTCTCGGTCTCGGAAAACTTTCCCCTGGGCGTCATGCTGTCTGTGCTTGTGGCTTTTCGCTGCCAGTTTTATGGTCAACATTTTGCCAGCTACTCGACCCCCATACCCACACCCATGATACTCAGACTCCTGTCTCCTGGCTCCTGTTTTTGCTTTTTGGTTCATATATCTTTAATTTTTTATGCTCGCCGTTATGTCAGCACATTTGCCATAGCATACTTTTCAGCAGCCACAAAACTTGAGTTGCTGTCATTAGTGGGAAAGATTGTGGACAAGAAGAATGAAGGAGATAGTACACAAAGAGAAATAATTAAGACAATATTAAAAAAATACAAAACTTAAGATTAAGAGTGTAAGTTTTTTATTCAAAAAAGTCTCATAAATTTGCTTAACTATTTAATATTTAGGACACAACTCTTAAGATTTTATTTGCGTGTCTTTTGACTACTTTGTCCCATAACTGGGTCAACAATGGTAGCTCTTTGAGGACTTCTTTCCCCCCTCCATCTTTCGCTGTTATCCACCGCTCCTGCTTTGTGGTTATCCTGGTTTTGTTGCTCCGCCATTGTCGGGGCCATCGCCCGTTTACAAGTCAAGTGGCGCGCATAACACCAAAAAATTGTGTAACGAAAACAATTTATTTTGCTGTAGAACTTGACGTTTGCCGTTTGCTTTTAGCTGTTTTGGTCCACCTCCTGTCATGGCCAGCTAGCCAGATTTGACAGCCAGATTGCCAGCTTCTTTCTGTTGCCACTACCATCAACACCAATTTGGCCAACTTTATTTACACCTTTTGTTTGGAATTTAATATTGGCTATTTGCCATTTATTTTGACACTGGAATCCTTTTGTGGCTTTTTAAATGTTTATTGACGTTTTTATAAACCATTTTATTTGCATTTAAACGTGTTGCGTGTAAATTTAAATGCATACAGCAATTTATTCAAATTAATTGGAAAAACTATTTTTAAATTAGAATTCCATTTCAATGGGCATGCTTTTGACACTTTCGTGTCGAGTGTGCCAAATAATTGACTCTTAAATATTTTCCTTTACTCATTGGCAATTTATTGCATTTTAATGAAAACCAAATATCAACAAATTTTTGCGGTTTTGAATATTAAATATTTCCAAGTTCTAGTAGTGACTTTTATTTTGCTAAAATTTTACTTCTCTTTTTAAAGATAGATAAACTGGCAACAGAATCTGCAACATCTGGCAAACCTTTTAGTCGCTTCTCTTTGGTAGCAACGACCCACTGACCGAAAACGTGACAATTTTGGCCAAGCACTAAGCGGAAGGCAAACCGAGACCGAATGCAAACATTGCAGTTGGACGCCCGAAGTGGCCAAAAGCACTTGGCCATGTGTGCCGAAGCAGCTGCTCGCTTATTGTCAGTCGGCTTGGCTTACAACGACTGATGCTGCAGCTTAGTATTTGCATAAAGATTTGAATTTGAATGACAAAGGGAGCAAGTGCGGTGTGCAGAGGGGTGGGGGAGTTAGGACAAATAGCGAAAAGTTGCCACAAATATCAAGAATAAAGCAAATAAGCGCCAAGTGCCTGACAGGAAATATAAAAGAGATTTTTTGACATTTAAATGGTGATTATTTTATTCTATATTTTGTATATAAACTAAATGCATTTTTAACTCTCAAAGCTTAAGAAAATTTTAAAATGGAAAACATGGTAAGTAAAATGGAAATTAAAACCCAGTGGTTTTATCAAAAAATATTCCAAAAATAAATTCCCCAAAAACCCGCCTACTAAACCACCAAGTTGGACCACCAAAATAGCCAACCTTTCGAATGCTTAAGACAAATTATGCCACAAAGCACTTAGGGCAATTAAAAAGTAAACAAAATATTCAGGGAAACTGCGGAAATCACTGAGCTGCCGACAGTCTAATGTGAAACATGTAAAAAACTTGCTCAAATCAGCGACGAAAACTGAAAGGCCAAAATAAACAAAACGATACGAAACCGCAACGAATGCAACCGATAAGCCTAATGAAGATTGCAATTGGCCAATTGTTGCCACTGCAGCTGAGATTTGTGTTTCTTATTTCCCATTTTTTTTTGCTTTTAGGCAATGGCAACAAAATTAGCAGCAATTAAAGGAAATTTGCAACAAAATGCGATTAGTGCGGCCGATACCAATGTGTTTGAAGTTTCGCATTTTCGGGGGAAAGGTGAAGTCAAAGTCGATTAAAACACTAGCCTGGCTGTTATGGCCTGGAAAATTGGCCAATGAATTGCTTAGCCAGTGGAAAATATGGCCATAAGTGGGTCAAATTGATTCTGATAAATGGCCAAGCAGCTGCTGGAGACTTTAAGAACTTTTTTGCCATTTCACTTCCTTATTGGATATTTATCAAAGTTGAAATGGCATTTTCTTGAATTGTTGTTCTGGAAAGTGTGCAAGAAAAAGCCATTTATCTATTTTTAAGTATCTTAAATAATGTGTAGCCTAATTAAAGCTCAAGCATTCCCACACACGACATGAGTATAAAGTTGTCCATCAAGTCACAATATTTTGACAACTTGCTGTCAGTTTTGAAACAAAAGTGGCCCTTAATAAGATGCAAAATGACGAATGAGGGTCGCGTTCGTTTTTGATAAATTGATAAGGTCTTCGGAAGACCCAAATTACAGACCGCAAAAGGTTGCCCTAGGTACCCTGACAGCCCAATTAAATCCATATATGTATGGATGGATGGGAGGCATAATCAAAATCTGGAAAACAACAAAATGTAAACTTGTTGTGCATCTTCTTGTGAATGAGCTGAATCGAAGCAGAAGCAGTGGCTGGGATTTCAAGGGCAGTCGATAAATGACAAACTGGTTTTGGAAAATAAAATATAAAGAAAACGTAGCTGGGGACTAGCTGGGGGGCGCAGTAGGTGTCAGCGGCATCTGCATTTCGATGAGTCAGTCTTGGTTCGACTGCGATTAGCATTTTTGTAGCTGCGACTCTTTGTCAATGGTCAAGGTCAATGAGCTGCTCACGATCTGACAAATTGAGTTAATTTAAATATTTAGAGCAGGAGTTGACAAAAAATCTTCACTAGAAATCGCCCACATAAGGTTTTACATTTTTTTCCAATTCACTCCACTTTAAAAATAATGCGGAAGTGCCAATAATATTTAAGGGGCTTTTATATGAAAAACAATGAACATTTTTTAAAAGCCCTTAAAGATAAAATTAAAAAAGTTAAAAACAAATTAAAATTAAGTTATCTTGCCCTGCCATCAATCAGTTTCAAGTACTCCCCATTGAGAATAATTTTACATTTTTTTGTTCGCCTCCACACTCAATTACTTACATTCCCCATTGACGACCCACATAATTCCCACAAATTCCTGTCACTTTAATAAATCTATCAATAAATAATAGTGCAAAAAAGTAAGTGCATTAATTGCCATAATATGCCATAAAAGTCCACGCATTGTGTGGCATCTGCAACAATGTTGCAATTGCCATCGATCAAATGAAAAGCCTTAACAATTTGCATGGCCATGCAAATTATGGCCAACAGGCTGGCTGGTAAAAAACCGAAACAAAAGGCGACTCTCAACTAAAAAAGCAACTAAAGTAAAATAAAATGAAAACTTTAGTTGCAGCAAAAAAAATTGACGTAACTGGCATTTAATTTGCAGGCGAAAGGCAACTTTCTAATAGCCGAATCGAAAGTTGTCAGTACGATGAAGGAAATCAATCCTGCATATTTAAATATGATACAGAGACTTCAATTTAAATCAAATATTCAATCTATAAAAATTTGTGATAAAAAGAGGAAAATTTTATTGAAAGTGTGGGTTCAATCACCCATGTTTAATTTCTGTCTCCACCCTCAATAAACCTAAATAAATCTACTTATAGATATGACGTATTTTTCCAGCGCTTATCGTGCAATTCCAATTTCCTTTCACTCAATAACCCTTTATCAGCCGTTCCCGGTAAGCCAATAAGAGATTGTTGGCCCATTCAACACTGCTTATCAGTGTACCAAATGATTTGAAATAAGTATGTTGAGGTGCGATCTGAAACCGCGTAATGCCAGTCGAATTCGGGAAGCGATCTAGTGCGGAACACACCCAAAAAGAGCCAACAAATTATGGCCGGAGTACGGATTGTAATCGCCTTTATTATTTGGCTCAAACTGTGTCTCATGATTTACCTGATAAACACTCATCAACCTATTTCTGTGGAATCCATTATGCGGCAGTATAAACCAATTAGCAACGAAGAACACCTCATAGATTTTCAGAATTTTTCCTATATGATTGAGCAGCCACCTTGCGAATTGGAAACCAAAGGATTAATTTTTATTCACTCGGCTCCGACTAATTTCGAAAAACGTGCTGTGATACGTGAGACGTGGGGTGGTGTGGATGCCATTGATCATTCGCCACTTCGTGTCATTTTTGCCGTCGGAAAGGTTGAAAATGATATGGTCCAGGGTTCACTGGAGAAAGAACAATCCTTGTTTGGTGACATGCTGCAAGGGAACTTTGTGGATGGCTACTTCAATGTTACCTACAAGCATGTAATGGGCCTGAAATGGTTTCATACTCACTGTCAAGGTGCCAAACTTTTGATAAAAGTGGATGATGATATATTTCTAAACACCGGAGAACTTATAGAGAACCTCGTAGAGCCAACCACCAAAAACAGGACCTTGGATGCATTCCTGCAACAAAGAGAAAGCTTGTTGTTTTGCAGTTTAAAGCCACACGATCCAGTGGCTCGAAGCTATCGCTCCAAGTGGCGTGTAACCTATGAGGAGTTCCCCAAAAATACTACCCAAACTTTTGTCCGGGCTTTACGATAGTCTACAGCCCCGATACTGTGAAAAGACTTTACGAGGAGGTCCAGAAATCGCCCTATTTTCGCTTGGATGACGTTTACATAACCGGCATTATGTCCAGTCGTACGAATATCACGATTACGGACCTCAGTCCCTTTGTGATTTATCCAAGCCAAATGAATGCTCTTCTGGAAGGAGTAGTGCCCGTGAGTGATATGCAGTTTCTGGTTTCCCATCACAATATTAACCCCGCTCTGATGAGATCACTCTGGGCCCTTGTTTGAGCCGAAGAAGCTTGCGGCCATCTCTGACTCCCTCCCCCCCAATTGCAATCTCCAATTCATGGCAAGTCAAGTACACGACTCGCCTCGTATTGGCCCACTTCAACATAAATCACAGACGGGGGCCCCCGAGGGCACGAGGGCCAACTGGCTCTTGACATTGTTTACCTCATCAGTTTCTGGAGGCTCCAGAATGCCGCCGGCTGAATGGCCAGTAGCTGGAAATCGAGCCTGAAACTACCGCACATATTTTTGACTGATGTTCTCGGGGCCGAAAACCCTCGTCCTTTGTTGCTGGCCTTTGTTTTTTGGCCATTCGGAACGGAAGCTGTTGCTGGCTTTTGATGGATGCGTTGCAGCAGCTGTTTCGGCCAACAATGAACCCGGACGAAGCTGAATGAAAAGCCAATCTGGTATATGGCGTGTGATGTGATGCATTATCTAAACGGACACTCAAGTTCATATTTCCTGGACTTGTGAACTTGAAAAGGCAGGTTATCCAAGTAACTTTTATCTCAAGCCGTTCCTATAGTTCAATATCAGTATTATACTTTATATATAAGAAATTTGTGTAAAATTTGTAATAAAATATATTTATTGTAAAAACACGAGTTCCTATTCTTATGCTATCAGTTTCCTTGATAACGTTTAATCTCATTTTATCAGTATTAGCTAGGAGTGGTGCAATCTTTCAGATAGCTTGCCAGTAATGTTCAATGGATTTTACTGTTCACATAAATACTTATGTCATATATGTTTTCTAGGCAACTATCAAACCATGACATTAAGCTCAACAGCAAAAGTCACCATATCGCATTCTCCATATCTTGTTGGCAGTTGTGTATCGCGATATATCTGGCTATTGAGGCTGGTAATTTGAATTGCAAAACGAAACTGTAGCCGAGGCTTATCTCGGAGTATCTATCTCTTAAACGGTAGCAGGGGATAAGCATACCCAGTATTTATAAATATTCCCATATCTGATTCTGTATCTATGTATCTGTGTCGCTGTCTGGCTGCCATTCTCTGGGCCAAAACAGCTGCAGGCCAAGTGTAAAAATTTGCACGCTAAAGTGTTGGCAAATATATGCAAATTATTATTACATCAATTCAGTTAATTGTCTGCAACAGCTTCTGGACAACTGACACTTAGCCTTTAATCTTTACTTTGTTTTCTTATCAAATGCCAAAAAATATGAAACATAGCTGGCAGATATACACTGCCGTGCACTTGAATAGGGACATGAATTTTGTTAGGTTTCTTTTTATTTTCTCTTAGTCTACTATAGGTATTGGCATATGCCTTGCTGATTTCTGAAGAAGAGAACTTAGGCTAACTATAGAAATAAGAGAGAGGTCCCAACCATTTATCGTTATAATTTTTTTTTCGTGTTTTCAACTGCAGTTTGAGCTTTGCCGTGGCCTATTCTGTTTAATTTATCTTTAAAAGGTGTGTAAGTTAACAAATAATAAACTTTATCGCATGGAATTTTTCTCAGAATGAAGAAGTCACGTCTTTTCCTATTCAAGTGCAGCTTTCTAGGAATGGTTCAAAAAAAACCGAAAAAAATTATGACGGGTTAGCCTGGGTTAGAAATCAGCAAATCACATACCTATAGCTATAATAGATTAAGAGAAAAATAAAACGAAATATAAACAAATTCTAGTCCCTATTCAAGTGCACGGCAGTGTATGTACATTGAATGTATCTGGCGATACCGAAATTTATGACATTTGTGAGAATTACTTTTTATCATTTTCAAGATATTTTGGCCCGTTAAATTTCGTTCTTATCAGTTTACCCAATTAGGTGAAACATTTTTAACGCGCAAAGCTATAGCAAATCTCAGTCGAATTCGGGAACTTTTCCAGAGCGGAACAAATTAAAAGGAGACCTTAAAAATATGATTCGAGGTCGAGTTGTAATAGCTGTCGTTGTTTCAATAAATCTTTGCCTAATTATTTACCTGATAAGCAACCAACAAACCAGAAACCCAGAAACTACAGAAGCCATCCACCGAGACTGTAAAACCGAAAGTCCTGAAGATCCTCTCATAGATTTCGCGAATTTTTCCTATTTGATTGAGCAACCACCTTGCCAAATGGAAACCAAAGGACTAATTTTAATTCACTCTGCTCCGAAAAATTTTGAAAAACGTGCAGTGATACGTGAAACGTGGGGAGGTGTTAATTCCATTGAAAAATCACCACTTCGTGTAATTTTTGCGTTTGGAAAAGTGGATAATATTATCATCCAGTCGGCCTTGAATACAGAACAATCATTCTTTGGTGACCTTCTGCAAGGGAGCTTTATAGATACGTACAATAATGTCACCTACAAACACGCAATGGTTTTAAAATGGTTCAACAAATATTGTGCAAATGCCAAACTTTTGATAAAACTTGACAATGACGTATTTATAAACACAGACAAACTTATCGAGAACCTCGTAGATCCGAAACCCGCTAAAAATGAGCTCGATACCTTCCTCCAAAAGAGTGAGAATTTATTGTTTTGTGGATTAAATAGACGAAATCCTGTAATCCGCAATCCTAATTCCAAGTGGTATGTGAGCCTTGAAGAATACCCCGACGAATACTATCCAGAATGTTGTGCGGGTTTCCTCGTCATCTATTCCCCCGATACGGCGAGAAGACTTTATGAAGAGGTTCAAAAGGCGCCCTACTTTAGAATAGATGATGTTTACATTACTGGAACAATGTCAAAACGAGCAAATATCACGATTACTAACAGCAGTCCCTTTGTGATTAGCAACAATGCTCTTATAAAAGGGGAAATACCCGCCAACTCTATTAACTTTTTGGTTTCCTTTCACAATATTGATCCTGAGCAGATGAAATCCCTTTGGGCCTTTACACAAACAGCAAAGGATTAGCTTATTATTAGATTAGTTCTATTATATTTGTGTTAATAGTCCATTTAAAGATTTTTTTAATATAGGAATTGTATTATTAGTCATAAAGATAAGATAAGAACACGTGCCAGACAAAACCAGTTTTTAATTATTATTTTTAACACTATTGTACTTTTTGTGAAACTCTTTTCAATTAAGAGTTACAATTGCTGACAAATAATCTGTTTGTAATAATCTCTTAGTATGTTTCTACAAATTAAACTAAGATTTTAATAGAGCGAAAATAAATTACTAAGACTATTATCAGTGAAAAGAAATCCATGGGGTATTTCAAACAAAGTCTACATCAATAAAAATGGTTTACTTTATCAATAATTGGTTTGCAAAGGTAAAGGTTTACCTTTACTTTTGGTATTTCTTTGGAATATATGTCACGGAACAATGACGTTATTTGGCCAACATATAATTTTCAATGCCCCACACTGTCTCAAAATATGTCCTTTTTGGACCGATGCAGTTTGAGTTTGGTTTTCACCATTTACAGTCCATTTTTTATAATTTTTTGGTCGATTTTCGATCTCCGAACCAACAACAATGGCTGGCCGCTGGACAATCAACAAAAAACGAGCGTCCATTTTCGATTTTTCATCATCAATGGGGAGCACTTCTTCCTTTCGGGCTTGACTTATTTCTTTGCCGTTTACTCGTTTTTTTTTTCTTTATTTTCCCGCTTTTTTCGTTATTGTTCGCTGAAATTTTATTGGCCGCCCCTTTTGGCCATTTTTCGAGGCAAAGAGGGGCATCCTTTTTGTGACGAGTCTCTGGCCATTGTTTACTTCCGTTTCCGGCCGGAAAAAGGGGCCACGGCATATGCAAATATTTTCACCATGATTGCGTTTTTCTCTCGTTTGATTTCTTGCCTTTGTTGTGCACGTGTCCCCTCTGCCTTTTTCATTGTTAATCGAATTGATGAAATTAAAAAAATATCGGTTTCCCCAAAATGAATTTAAAAGGCAAAAGGTACAATTGCTTTTAAGCGCGAAATTTCATTATGCTGCCCTGTCACACTTATTCGTGTATCTCACTCCGGTATCTCATTTGTCATGCACATGCCAAGGATATAAAAGGATATAAAAGGCACTCACATGTCGCTTAAATGTAATTAAATGAATTTGTTTATTTTACAAAATGAGCGTCGCACTTTTCACGCGCTTTTGAGCCAAATTTAAGTCACTTTTTTGTTTTATCCGCTGGTTTTTGGCCTAATTAAGTACACATATTTACACATGCCACATGTCCTTAAACCACATTTCCCCCCACTCATTTACCTCCTTTTCCATCTTCACCGTTGCCTTTTAAAACGCTCTTAAAACGCTTAGCTCCTGCTCTTGGGCGACTTTCATTTTATGACGCGTAAATAAAAATTAAAACCAGCTTACCCGATCCTTTTTTTGGGTTTATTTTGCGTTTATTTTGGGTTTATTTCGTTACAACTTTTTAAGCAACTTTCCGTTGAGTGGTTTGAATTTTGTTAAGGTTTATGTTCTTGGCGTTTGTTTTGAAACACTCATGGAAATTATGTTTAAGCAGGCATTTAAAAGTTTTCTTTGTCTTGGGGTTTAATATCCGCTGGAAATTAGTTGATAAGGATACGGAGACTTTTTACACCCTTGCAGAGGTGACAGTAAAGAAGATATCTCCGCCCCTTGAAAGTATATATATTCTTGAATAGGATCACCTCCTGAGTTGATATAAGTCTGTCTGTCAGTTTCTACTCGAACTAGAAACTAGAGATCTAGAAATCGTTTAAGGTACATCGCTTGAGGATCGGGTGATAATTGGAAAAGACATGGCCATCACTGTGGGCCATATTGGGAAAACATCATTTTCAGGGGATCCCATCACGAAAAATGGACAAAAAATCTAAAAAATATTTTGTCTCAAGATTTTGATGCAGAATGGTGGAAAATCGATCCAGAAATCATTTAAGGTACTCCGCTTGAGAATCGGGTGATAATTGGAAAAGACATGGCCATCACTGTGGGCCATATTGGGAAAACATCATTTTCAGGGGATCCCATCACGAAAAATGGACAAAAAATCTAAAAAATATTTTGTCTCAGGATTTTGATGCAGAATGGTGGAGAATCGATCCAGAAATCATTTAAGGTACTCCGCTTGAGAATCGGATGAGAATTAGGAAAGATATGACCATCACTGTGGGCCACATAGGGGAAAACCCCATTTTTAAGGGATCCCATCACGAAAAATGGACAAAAAATCTAAAAAATATTTTGCCTCAGGATTTTGATGCAGAATGGTGGAGAATCGATCCAGAAATCATTTAAGGTACTCCGCTTGAGGATCGGGTGATAATTGGAAAAGACATGGCCATCACTGTGGGCCATATTGGGAAAACATCATTTTCAGGGGATCCCATCACGAAAAATGGACAAAAAATCTAAAAAATATTTTGTCTCAGGATTTTGATGCAGAATGGTGGAAAATCGATCCAGAAATCATTTAAGGTACTCCGCTTGAGAATCGGATGAGAATTGTGAAAGATATGATCATCACTGTGGGCCCCATAGGGGAAAACCCCATTTTCAAGGGATCCCATCACGAAAAATGGACAAAAAATCTAAAAAATATTTTGTCTCAGGATTTTGATGCAGAATGGTGGAAAATCGATCCAGAAATCATTTAAGGTGCTCCGCTTGAGAATCGGATGAGAATTGTGAAAGATATGATCATCAGAGTAGGCCATATTGGGGAAAACCCCATTTTCAAGGGATCCCATCACGAAAAATGGACAAAAAATATAAAAAATATTTTGTCTCAGGATTTTGATGCAGAATGGTGGAGAATCGATCCAGAAATCATTTAAGGTACTTCGCATAAGAATCGGATGAGAATTGGGAAAGATATGATCATCAGAGTAGGCCATATTGGGGAAAACCCCATTTTCAAGGGATCCCAAAAATGGACAAAAAATCTAAAAAATATTTTGTCTCAGGATTTTGATGCAGAATGGTGGAGAATCGATCCAGAAATCATTTAAGGTACTCCGCTTGAGAATCGGATGGGAATTGGGAAAGATAAGACCATCACTGTGGGCCCTAAGGGGAAAATCCCATTTTCAAGGGATCCCATCACGAAAAATGGACAAAAAATCTAAAAAATATTTTGTCTCAAGATTTTGATGCAGAATGGTGGAAAATCGATCCAGAAATCATTTAAGGTACTCCGCTTGAGAATCGGGTGATAATTGGAAAAGACATGGCCATCACTGTGGGCCATATTGGGAAAACATCATTTTCAGGGGATCCCATCACGAAAAATGGACAAAAAATCTAAAAAATATTTTGTCTCAGGATTTTGATGCAGAATGGTGGAGAATCGATCCAGAAATCATTTAAGGTACTCCGCTTGAGAATCGGATGAAAATTAGGAAAGATATGACCATCACTGTGGGCCACATAGGGGAAAACCCCATTTTTAAGGGATCCCATCACGAAAAATGGACAAAAAATCTAAAAAATATTTTGCCTCAGGATTTTGATGCAGAATGGTGGAGAATCGATCCAGAAATCATTTAAGGTACTCCGCTTGAGGATCGGGTGATAATTGGAAAAGACATGGCCATCACTGTGGGCCATATTGGGAAAACATCATTTTCAGGGGATCCCATCACGAAAAATGGAAAAAAAATCTAAAAAATATTTTGTCTCAAGATTTTGATGCAGAATGGTGGAAAATCGATCCAGAAATCATTTAAGGTACTCCGCTTGAGAATCGGATGAGAATTGTGAAAGATATGATCATCACTGTGGGCCCTATAGGGGAAAACCCCATTTTCAAGGGATCCCATCACGAAAAATGGACAAAAAATCTAAAAAATATTTTGTCTCAGGATTTTGATGCAGAATGGTGGAAAATCGATCCAGAAATCATTTAAGGTACTCCGCTTGAGAATCGGATGAGAATTGTGAAAGATATGATCATCAGAGTAGGCCATATTGGGGAAAACCCCATTTTCAAGGGATCCCATCACGAAAAATGGACAAAAAATCTAAAAAATATTTTGTCTCAGGATTTTGATGCAGAATGGTGGAGAATCGATCCAGAAATCATTTAAGGTACTTCGCATAAGAATCGGATGAGAATTGGGAAAGATATGATCATCAGAGTAGGCCATATTGGGGAAAACCCCATTTTCAAGGGATCCCAAAAATGGACAAAAAATCTAAAAAATATTTTGTCTCAGGATTTTGATGCAGAATGGTGGAGAATCGATCCAGAAATCATTTAAGGTACTCCGCTTGAGAATCGGATGAGAATTGGGAAAGATAAGACCATCACTGTGGGCCCTAAGGGGAAAATCCCATTTTCAAGGGATCCCATCACGAAAAATGGACAAAAAATCTAAAAAATATTTTGTCTCAAGATTTTGATGCAGAATGGTGGAAAATCGATCCAGAAATCATTTAAGGTACTCCGCTTGAGAATCGGATGAGAATTGTGAAAGATATGATCATCGCTGTGGGCCCCATAGGGGAAAACCCCATTTTCAAGAGATCCCATCACGAAAAATGGACAAAAAATTTAAAAAATATTTTGTCTCAGGGTTTTGATGCAGAATGGTGGAGAATCGATCCAGAAATCATTTAAGGTGCTCCGCTTGAGAATCGGATGAGAATTGGGAAAGATATGACCATCACTGTGGGCCCTAAGGGGAAAACACCATTTTCAAGGGATCCCATCACGAAAAATGGACAAAAAATCTAAAAAATTATTTTTTTTAAGGATTTTGATGCAGAATGGTGAAGAATCGATCCAGAAATCATTTAAGGTACTCCGCTTGAGAATCGGATGAGAATTGTGAAAGATATGATAATCACTGTGGGCCCCATAGGGGAAAACCCCATTTTCAAGGGATCCCATCACAAAAAATGGACAAAAAATCTAAAAAATGTTTTGTCTCAGGATTTTAATGCAGAATGGTGGAGAATCGATCCAGAAATCATTTAAGGTACTCCGCTTGAGAATCGGATGAGAATTGAGAAAAATATGACCATCACTGTGGGCCCTAAGGGGAAAACCCCATTTTCAAGGGATCCCATCACGAAAAATGGACAAAAAATCTAAAAAATATTTTGTCTCAGGATTTTGATGCAGAATGGTGGAGAATCGATCCAGAAATCATTAAAGGTAATCCGCTTGAGAATCGGATGAGAATTGGCGAAGATACAGCCATCGCAGTGGGCCCTATGGGGAAAACCCATTTTCAAGGGGTCCCATGAGGAAAAAAGGACAAAAAATTGGAAAAATATTTTGTTTCAGTATTTTGATGCAGATTAATGGAGAATCGATATAGAAATCGTTTAAAACACTCCTCCTGAGAATCGGATGAGAATTGGGGAAGATATAGCCATCGCAGTGGGCCCTATAGGGGAAAACCCATTTTCAAGGGGTCCCCATCACGAAAAATGGACAAAAAATCTAAAAAATATTTTGTCTCAGGATTTTGATGCAGAATGGTGGAGAATCGATCCAGAAATCGTTTAAGGTACTCCGCTTGAGAATCGGATGAGAATTGGGAAAGATATAGCCATCACTGGGGGCCATATAGGGAAAACCCCCATTGTGCTTAAAGCGGTGCATTTTATTTTATTTAAGTTCTACTATTTGTAGCATTTATTTCAGGTTAGTTAGTAAAGTTGCCTCTGACTTGAATGGTTTCTAATTTTATTTAAATTATGCAAACACACGAAGACATATGTACATACTTACATACAACCCGAAAACCGTGTTTTCAGCTGTCAAATTAATCTGTCACTTTCTGAGTTGGCTAAGTGACATTTACAAATCGCTACAAAGTGAACACGAAACAAACTAATCAGGCATGCCAAAAACTCTGCAAAGTTTGGGGGAAAAGTAAGAGGGATTTGAATGGAAGGGAAAATATAAGCAATCGATAAAATGCAGAAAGGAAAAATGCAAAGGTTCACCTTTCTAGGGCAGAACTAAACAAGGACAACGAATCGACGTAAACAAGAAAGGAAGGTAAGGGGCTTAGAGCCAATAGTAAGAGCGGGAGGCACTTAAGAACAGAAAGGGAAAGAACTTGGAGGACGAGAAAGAGATAGCAACATAGTCAGTACTGGCCAGGTAAGTTGACTTACTCCCAATTGGTATTGGCATATTGGTCCAAGTTTTCAAACGCCAAAGTGGATTGCCCCTTGATTAATTAAAAGCTCTTTTGATGCTGCATATGTGTGTCTACATGTGTGGGTTTCTACACTTCTTCCTAGGCATCACCATATCCTGTTCTGTATTCTCTTCAATATCCTACTTCAGTTACCTCTGCTCCTTTTTGGCCGTGTGTGTGCTTTCGCCAGTGACAACAGAAGTTTGGTCACATTCAAGGACATAATAGTGTTACCAAAGTACTCTTAAATGCTTGAACTTTATGGGAGATCATTTAGAGAAACTTTAAAGGTAAAGACAACTTCCTCTTTAAATTCTGAATGGTCAGAATTTATACAAGAAATAAAATCTGAAAGCTCCTATTATTTTGACCACAATTATTGAGCTCTTTGGACCACCCAATATTGAAATCAGCTGCAAAAGGTACAAAAATAGACCGAAAGAGCCGAAGATAACGACAGCCGACACAGTCCTCGAAAATTGTCCTCCAAGTTCTGGGCAAAATGTGTGCCAATTTTTGTGTTTGTATTTGAAGTCCTTTTGCTAATGGTTTGTCTGCTGTTTCGCCTCCTTTGTCCCCAATCCTTTGGAATTTGCATGACCAAACGTAAATCAATTGCTCGACAAAGGAGCAAAGGATGCAGTCGTAGGAAATGGATAAACAACATCAACTAATTGCTTAAAGGTTGCTCCACAAAATGCAATCCACGACTAGGCTATATAAATTCATTAGATACTGATATAAGCCACACACTGACCAAACAAAGCACTTAAATGTTGTGTAAAAAGGCAAAAAAAAAGACATCACATGTAAGTATAGCAATGAGATGGCGTGACCAGATCTTGCATGAGAATCAATATAAACACGAACATAAATGGAAACCAAAGTGGGTTTGGATCCAAGCATTGAACATGGCTAAAAAAATTAACATAAAGCTAACGGGGGTAAAGCAGGTACATGAGCAAATATGTCGGAAGGTATTTCGTTTATAAATAAATGAGAAAATGACCCAATTAAGTTGATTTCAAAACAAAGATCCTTTATTCCTAAGTTCATTAATTTATGCCAATTCAATTGGTAATAGTAGAAGTCATATAATCCCTCTGTACTGAGCCAATAAATTACTCATTCCTGGAATTACTGTCATATTAGCCCATCATCACATGCCCAGGCCAAAGCCCCACCAACCATCTCATCTTTGAGTCATCGACAGATGCTCGAAATGACCAACGCATTTTAGCTCCTATCAATTCAAGACATTCCCCAAAGCCAACCGAAAACAAAAGCCTCCACACGCAGTCCTGACCATCATTAACATGAACAGACGCGGAGATACAAAGACCTGTTGTCCCATCAAAATACACGGCCATAAATGGGTATTGCTTTCTTGGCTATATAATACCCAGTACTATTCCATTAAAACCCTTTTTTGTAAGAAGTCCTTTGATACTAGTGTTTTATTATATATTATTTCTATTTAAAATTACCATTATTTTCTCTCACTGCTTATCCCAAACCGGTTAACAAGCTGGGAGAACTGGCAAGAACTCAGATATACCGAGGCCTAATGGCGCCAACGACGATTACTGAAAACATAGACATTAAATGCAGAGGAAGTGACATTAATTGCATTGATTTAGCAGGCCCTACAACCCAACAACCAACCGATAAAAGTTGGCCTATCCATCTCCATTATAGAGCCTCCTGCAGCAACGATTTCCGGGCAAGAAATTGTAAAACCGAAATAGGGAAACATGACCATTACGCACCCATTGCGTATGCACTTCCAATTATTTGAAATTGTTGCTAATGAGAAATTAATTTGCAAAATGCTAATCAAGCGGTGGCAGTTGCTCGCTGGTCAGCATTCTCCATTCTAATTCCAACAAATTGCCATCGAAGCTGGCTGGCCAACGGATCGAAGTGATTTAATTAAGACTGTCGGTGGTCAGACAGTTGCACGAGTTTCCCAATTTTGGCATCGATTCCGTTTGGTCTCTAATGCGCATTTAATTGTTTTCGATTTAAACAAAAAATCGAACAGTAATTAGACCAGCAAGTAGTGCGCTTTTTAAACTTTTTAAAGCAAGTTAAGGTTGGTGTTTTGTGAAATACTCCTTTACTTAAAAATCCTCTTTTTAAAGATTCAATATAATTACATAGTGTGGATTGTATTTCAATAGTTGCCCCAAACATTATTATTAGCTTAAAAAAAAAAACTATAAATAAAGACCCAAACGATAAATATATCAACAATTGAGACAGGTGGGGCGTGTATGCAACATTAATCAAAACTTCAGGAAAATTACACCTGCAGTTCAAGACCCCTCGATATCTTCCGGCCCCTGTATGCAGCATTTCAATTTTTTCACACCACGCGGTAGGCTGTGCAACGGTACTTTATGTTCCATTGCGTATCTTTTGTGTGTAATTGCCGCTGCAGATTGATTAATTCTGATTGATTAATGGCATTTAAAGTACGTGTGTGTCGATGGCGGGGAATCCAAAGGTGCGAATTTTTAAGGTAAACATTTCAATCATCTCGTAAAAGAATGAAAATAGCAAACGCTGAAGATAGAATTTGCAACTCCATAAAAAAGAGATAAAGCGAATTTATTTACGGCCTCAAGAAAAATATTGATTTTCCAATTGAAATTAATTATTTTTAAAGAATTTTATCATGTTAATATTATAAAATTTGTGTAAACTTAGGCGCCAAAATATATTTTTAAAGAAACGCATAACAACCAAAGCTGATTGCTACAAAAGATGTAAAGAAAAAATACCACATTTTAGAGGCCAACAATTTGGTATTTACCTTCAAAACTTCATTTTTTAAATACAAATTGTATAGTGAAGCTATTTATTATTAATATTTTATCAATTATCCAACCATTTTTTATATTTTCTAGCTAGAAACCCCTATTTTAAAGATGTAAACAAACCAGGCGCTCACTTGTGGGTGTGGTATTTTCATAATACACAACTCCGGTCACATTGTACACGTTTTGCCAAAAAATGCGCATAAAAACCATACACTATTTTTAATTAAAGAAAAATCAACCACAAAAGGATAGTAAAAATGTCTGTGCTGCGTTTTCTGGTAACGCGCCAGGCTCTGGCTGCCCTGGCCCGGCCCAGAACCATAAACATTATCGAAAATCGAGCTCAAATAGCTTTGGCCTCAACTCTGTGCAACCAAAATAGCCATAAACTTGTTCAAGACTTTGGAAAATCGAATGGAAATTTAAATATTATTCAAACTAGAGGGCACAAGCGCTTCGGACACCAATCGGAGAAGACACCCAATGTAACCAAGTACTTTCACATGTTCATACTGAGTTTATTTCTCATCTCGGTGACCGATTGGGGCAAGTAAGTGACTAACCAACAAAATCTTTGCAAACATCGTTCTTAAAGATTCTATTTATAGAGTTAAACGCCTGTTGATGCCGAAAGTGGACGCAGATGCTGGACAACGGCCGTCATCAGCTGCCGGGGTTAATGGCGAGGATAAATCATCTGATTCCGAGTCGGATGATAGCGACGACGATGAGGGCGGTTCTGATTTGCACTTGCATGAAGGCAAGAAGATTCGCGAGAAAGTCGGTTTCCGCGAAAGGAAGGTACAAGGCTTCTGCTAACTAATTTAAATAATAATGCTTTGAGCAAAAAGTTGTTATATTTTTTATTTATTAACTGGTTTGAACCGAATTTCACCATGAAGAGATACCCGTATCCATGTATATATTTAACACTTTGACTTGGTATACCTTTTATCTAAAGTGAAATTCAGTTGAAAACTAAGAACTATTTCCTTTGAATATATTTTTCAATTTGTTAAATGATTTTCCCGAAAATCTTGGTTTTTACTTTTATGTTTGTGTCGTCTTGATTTATGTTACACCATCACACACACCAAAAATCACACGAAAAACTCAAAGATCATTGAGTACGAGAACCGTATACGGCAGTTTTCAACGCCAGACAAAATATTCCGGTATTTTGCCACCGTAAGACTGCAGGATGCTACCCAGACAATCGTCTGTATGACACCCGAGGACTTTCTACGCTCCATTTATCCAGGAATCAAGCAGCCAGATGGTAAATTATTCATCCAGACATCCACTCTTAACTAACATTTAGTTTGATTAGTTTAGTTAATTTATTAGTTGAATAGTTTCTTTAGTCGATGTATTAGTTTTGAGCTCTTGTTTGGTTTTCAAAGCCGTGCTATTGAGCTAAAGCCATTGTTGTTTGCCTTAGATCATCGAGTATGAGAACCGTATCCGGCAGTTTTCTACGCCGGACAAAGTGTTTCGTTACTTTGCCACCATTCAAGTGCCAGTGGCTGATGACAGGCACGAGGTCTATATGACACCCACAGATTTTCTCACCAGTATGACGCCAGGAATGAAGCAGCCGGATGGTATGTGATAGCTATGAAGGGATACCCTTTAGAATGTCGTAAACCTATAGATTACTAACTGAAGATTGTATTTTACTGGATGAAGCATATTTACGAGTAATATTTATTTTCATTATTTTAGGTTTGGGCCTGGATCAGTATCGTCGGTATGACCCTAAGGTAAGGGTTTGAAATTTTAATAAATATATTTATTAAACCCCTCCCTTTTCAGTCTGTTGGAGAGCTGCTGAATCTTCACCTGGAGAAGAACAGCATCTTTTATAAACTTGGCTCATATGGACTGATTACTTTCTCGGACTACATTTTCCTACTCACAGTGCTTTCCAGTAGGTGGTCTTGAATACTAAAAAATAAGGATTTTTAATGTTATATTTATTTTCCCAAGTTTCCCGCCGACATTTTGAGATTGCCTTCCGCATGTTCGACCTCAACGGCGATGGAGACGTGGACTGTGAAGAATTCGAAATGGTGGCCACTTTGGTAAGGCAGCAAACCAGCATGGGAACCCGCCATCGAGATCATGCCAATACTGGAAACACTTTCAAGGTAATACAGAAATATGGTTTCTGTAAAAAAAAAAAATAGCAAAAAATAAGAAGACAGTACCTGGAGCCGTACTAAAATCAATGATTCCTTTTTGTATATTTGTATATTCTCTGTCTTTTGGCTTTAATCCTATAATATTGAACGCGTGTCTAAACTGTGTACATATCAAATCTTAATCTTCCTCTGTTTTTGACGTACTAACAGTCCTTAAAGGTACTTTGTGTATTAATGCTTATTGTCTACTTCTTCTTTTGCCCTTTTAATTGTTATTCTTTTTAAAATCATTTATCCACATTCGCACTGAAGAACACCACTAATACCTTCGCTAGAAACTCCACAAATGCACCTGCTCCCAAGCACACAACTTCAACCTCTTGATGTCTGAAACTGGATTTCTATTAAATACTAATTTAATGTTTAAAAATACCTTCCTTAGGGTGTAAACTCAGCCTTGATCACATATTTCTTTGGACCCAATATGGATGAGAAGCTGACGATCGAAAAGTTCCTGGACTTCCAGGAGCAACTACAGAAGGAGATTCTATCGCTGGAATTTGAGAGAAAAGAACCGAACGAGGAGGGCAATATATCAGAAGCTGATTTCGCTGAGCTCCTGTTGGCCTATGCCGGATATCCTTTGAAGAAAAAGCAAAAGAAACTGAAGCGGGTGAAGCGACGATTCAGGGATCATGGCAAAGGAATCTCAAAGCAGGACTATCTAGACTTTTTCCACTTCTTGAACAATATTAATGATGTGGACACTGCCCTGACTTTCTATCATATTGCTGGAGCTTCCATTGATCAGCAAACGTTGCAACATGTGGCCAAAACAGTGGCCTTGGTCAACCTCTCCGATCATGTGGTGGATGTGGTCTTTACCATTTTCGATGAGAACAGTATGTTTTTAAATATATGATTATAATATAAATTATAATATCCTCTCTCCCCCTTTTAGATGACAACCAGCTTAGTAACAAGGAGTTCATTTCGGTTATGAAAAACCGGGTGCAGCGTGGTTTGGAAAAGCCCAAGGACACTGGCTTCCTCAAAATGATGCGATCTGTGTTCAAATGCGCCAAAGAAACTAAACCCGTTCTACTGGACATCTAAAGATTGTTTCTTGTTGGATTCTCCCGCTGAAAGCGCCCAATCTTAGTCATTTTTCCTACGCCTACGCTTCTCTCGACTATTTATTTATATAGTTAATGTTTACTTGAAACGATTTTAGCTCAATCCTTTTAAAGCAGGGAACCAACTTAAGGTTCTATTTTGTATAATTTAACCGACTCTTGTGCACTTATAACTTTTAATTTTTTTTATTACAAAAATATATCATAATATTTATAAATAAAAAGTATAAGAAACAAAAAAAAAGGGACTCATTGCTTAGTTTTGACTATGGTTTTATATCTTTTAAGAGGATAAGGATTACGATTTATTCCTATGGAATGTATACGATTTTTTAAGGGGAGTACTCTCTTCATAAATAATAATGTGATATGTGAAATTTAAGGACTCAACTTAGTTCTATAGTTTTCTTTAAAATCTTAAAAAAAAGTAATAAGTTATTGTCTTAACGTCTTAGTTAAATTCTAAACCATCTAAGCAATATCCACATCCTCCCGCTCCTCATCAACATCATCCACACTCATTCCGTATAATTCCAAATCGTGTTTCTTTAAATGCGCTGTATAGGCATCCAATTCGGTGAATCTCTGCTGACACTCGCAGCACTCTAGCCAATCCTCCACAGAACTGTCCTCGTCCTCATCACTCTCGTATGTCGAGGATTTCCGGCTCCTCAACTCCTCCAGATGGTTCTCTTTGTGATCGGAGTACTCGAGGTAGTCGCGAAACTTTGATGGACACCGGAGGCACTTGTACCAGCGGTCTCGCATATGGGTGACCATGTGTTTCTTAAGAGTGGAGCACTCCCTAAACGGTTTTCTGCACTTGGAGCAACTGAAGGGCTTTTCGCCCGTGTGGATCATATAATGGCGTTTAAGATTATGGCGGGTTCCGAAGGGACGATGGCATAGCGGACATGGATAGGATCGACGGCTCCGATTTCTCGGCTTGGTCGATGTATTCCCATCATTGCTCAAAGATGATGAGGAATTGGCACTGCTGCAGCTGGGTGGAAGTGGTGGACGGCTCGGTAGCCTGGATGAGGAACCTGTTTCTGGTAGAGATTTCGTGGCCGGTATTAAAGTCACCATCAATGTTGGTGGTAATACAGGTTGGGGCTGTTCCAGCTCCAGCTCCTCCGTGTCTTCTTCCTCCATGTCGTCTTCCTCCTCCTCGTCATCTTCCAACTCCTGCTCCTCTCCCGTTTTATTTCCCAAATCCTCTGGCTGTGGCTTGATCATCAGATTCTTGCTCTCACAGTCGGCACACCTGGTGGAGTCCTGCACCAAAGGCTGTCCCAAATGACAGATCATACAGATGTATTGGGGATCGTGTGAATGCCTCCGGCGATGCTTCTTCAAATCACTGAACTCCCGGAACCGGCGTTCGCACAAATCGCAGGGAAAAGGACGTTCACCTGAAAGGATATAATAATTAGGATATTTTTAAATATAATAATCCTTGCGGTTATACCGGTGTGGATCATCATGTGCCGTCGCAGGTTATAATTGGACTGAACTTTCTTCCCGCAGGCAGGACACTCGTACATGGGACGTCCTCTGCGGTTCACATAGGGACGTCTCTTCTTTGCTGACCACCTGGCGGAAGTATTCCGCCTTTTAAGAATCTTTTTGGGCTGATCCTGATCCTCTTCCTCAGACTGGAGTGTTATGATTTGATCTTGATTCTGACTCTTTTTCGGACCTCCTCCTTCCTGGTCCTTTAAAATGCAACTAACTCCACTAAAAGGAAGACTTCTCACTAGATTTTTGTCACTTTTAGGATCCTCCTCCTGTTCACTGTCACTCAGCTCGATTTCGGCCACGATCCTTTGCTCCTGTCTGGGAACTAATTCAATGTCTGGCGATATCCTGTTTATGGAACAATTCCAAGAAGCGAGACTTCTGGCTGCACTGATTATCAGCCCCTTGTGATGTTGTGTATCCTCCAGATCCAAGTCTATCACCTCCTCAACCCTTCGCTTCTCCGCCTCCCTCCTTTTAAGTTCCTCTTCCCGTTTCTTTTTCTCCTCCTCTTGTTTCCTCTTCATTTCCAACTCCTTTTGCTGTTGTTGTTGCCCGATCCTCCATAATAATCCCTTGATTTTCGCATCATCAATGGATACAAAGTTCTCCTCGGGCTCTTGGTATTCGTATCGCACAGGATCAGGGGGAATGAGTCCACAGCTGGCACCGCAGTTGACGTCACAGCAGGCCGAGGCAGAGCAGCAGGGCATGAGGGTGCAGTCACTGCAGCAGTCGGCGCAGGACGATGATTTATTTAAAGCCAACTCCATGATCTTTATCTGGGGACGAGGAGAAAAATAATAAACTATAAATAGGATTGGCAATATTAATACATGTATGTTTATTTTTCCCTATCTGCCTTGTGAAAGATATTGTATCTTTCAGATACTTTTTTGAAAAGGCAGCCTAGGTATCTAATATCTCTCCCTCTATAATAAAAAATGAAATAACCCTTAAACATACCACATAAAAAAATGTAATATTTCCACGGCGCTTCCAAGGAGCCACCGATCGTTGCTCTCCTCCAAGCCTTGTGGAGCCTCTGTATTTCGGCACTCTCCGCTCTCAGTATCTTTTTGTTCGCGTTTTCAGTGCGTTGAGCGTCTGCCGTGTGAAGAAGTGAAGAAGAAACTGGATTCGCGATTCGCGATTTGCGGCTTGTTGGGCTCCCCGGCAAAACCTCTCGGCAAAAAAACAAAAACAAAGAGCCGCCGCAAAAGTCGAGCTTCGACGTCGACGTCAACGTCGACAGCACTGCCCGCTGCCTCTGCTCTGAATCAGCCATGCGAACGGCAGCGGCAGCAGAACAACAATAAAAGCTGCAGGCTTTTTCGAGATTGTACGTGAGCCTTGTCCCCTTCCCCATTTTTCGCGTGTGTGTTAACTTGATTTTTCTTCGGGCCACGCAGAGCGAAAACGAAATAGGAAAAAAAATACAAAGAAAATGCGCCCCAAAGAAATAGCAACAACAAAAAACAATTACAGTCAGAGCAACAGGCACGAATTTCAAGATTCAGAGAGTGAGAAAGAGTTTTAGGTTGTGGTAGGAGGGGGAAAAGGGGGGGACTGGGAGAGCTCCACTGGGGGCGTGTGTCTGAGGGGGAGGCGGGCAGAAGAAGGAAAAAAGGAAGCAGCACGACAGCAGCAATACGGCCAGCAACAACAACAACAAACACGATTTGAGGGAGCAACTACAAAAACAACAATTGGGGAGCAGCAGCTACTCAGAGTAGAGGACAGCGGCCGAGACAGAAGCAGAGACGTCAGCGTCTACGTCGACGTTTATTGACGTCCGAGCAGCAACGCAAAACCGTGCGCCTTCATTTTTTTAATTCGCAGTTGCTTTTCATTATTTTTTTCTTTCCTACTCTATAGCTTTTATTGTTGATATTGCTTTCCTTAATTTCTTCCAGCCAATTGACTTAATTATTGGCCCCTATCGGTTGTTGCTTGTATTTTTGTCCGTCTCGGACAGGGTTATTATAGTGTTGTAAAATATACGTAAGAAAGCCCTTGATCCTTTTTATGCTGAAGCTTTTTCAGATCCTTAATAACACAGGCCAACACAGAAGGTTTTTACCTTATTTTGGGACTTGTTTTTGATGTATTTTAGAGTCCTGATTCTTAGAATTTGGCAATTGGTTGTCATTAAGTATCTTTGACAACCAGCGATCCAAATCCAAGTCCAAGCCATCCAAATTAAGTCGTTTTCTAGACTTTATAGTGCCTTACGTATCTGACCGTATCTGAAAGCTTTAAATCGTAAATTATATTCTAATAATAAGGGCACACCATTTTTAGCTTATTTATTTAAAAAAAGATTAAATTCTGTGAAGGTGATAAAAAGTGAAAACTAAAGGCAAGCTTTTTCACTTTCATCTTTTTCCAATTGTTTAAAAAAACCAAGGTTTTTAAATATTTCTAAATATTCTTGTTTTTATAGATTATAGATCATCAAACTATGTCCTTTTTCTTCAAAGAATACATTTTTAAAGTATTTATTTTAGTCTTAAAACTTTTCTTTTACGTCAAGATATTAATTATTTTCTACAAAAAGGATCCAATAAAAAATATAAGTTTTAAGTTCAATAAATTCTTGAAATTCTTGATAAATGCTTGAAATTTAAACAACTTGAAGCTTCAATCACCTGAGAGATCACCTGATGGGAGGTGCTCCACAAGTCTAGGATAGCGTGATCTTGGCTCATTTGTATGCAATTGCCGTGGGCCAGGTAGGTTCTACCTCGAAACCATATTATCCAGATTCGCTCTCAGCTAGGCTGCCATTTGAATTCTCGTTAATCGTGACTGCACCGCACATTCATTTCGCACTCATTTCGTTTTGTTTCAGTTTTAGTTTTTTTTTTTTTACCATAAAACTCGTTTGTTGGGGATCCGCGAACACACCGTCGTCCAGTCGCATGAAGTCAATATCAACAGAACGCCCACTCGACTTGGTCCGTGTGGAAACAGTGGATCAGTGTATCGGTCACGGACTCTGGCTTTCTCAGTTGGCCTGGCCGGTTGGGCATCCGTGTTCGTTGCATCCAACCAACCAACCACATATATGTATGCATATTATGTCCGTGTCTGTGCCACAAATATTGTTTTCAGAGTGTGTGCCTCCTGGGGAGCAATGCTCGGCCTCTCGGTTTCTGCCTCAGTCTCCAGGTGTTCGAACTTTTTCAACTCGTCTGTATGCATATATGGATACATACTGGTACCTGGTAAGCAGCCAAGTGCTGTGTAAGGCTTGGATACGATGGCGATGGCGTGCTCGGTGAAATTGTTTCTTAAATGGCTTTGGACTTCAATTAAATTTAACAATTTAAGGGTCAACTTGTTAGTCGAACAGGGGAGAAACTTACTAGATATTAAGAACTATAGTATATAGATTTACAAGCCATCTAAACTATTGATATAAGAGGCTTCCACTTACGAACATGATTCAAGCAAGACTGGACTCATAAATATTTTTATAGATTTCCATTATTTTCAACAATAAGGATTCTAAATTTAAGAAATATACCTACTCATTAATAGCTTTGTAATTTATTATTTAAGTTAATAAAAGTGCAAACTTTAGGCCCATTAAAAAATATTAAAAAAATGTAACACTCTGATCTGTTGAAAAAAATATTTAATAGGCAATTCTTTCGGTTTGGATCAATTCTAATTATAACATTTCCTGAAACTGGCTTACAGTAATTAGAATAAAATTGTAAGCCTATAATATACATATTGTGTGTGTATATATATCGTCTTATTAGATCGGCATATAAGCAGATATCGCCGCTATTATTGTATCTCATTATAGACAGTATAATGATCGATTACATTCGTGTATAATATATATATATATTTATTTTATATATAAAGAGGAAACATATTTGGCAAAATTGGGTTCTTGGTAGCTAAAGTCTACTAACAAAACTAACTGAATCATATATTGGTTTTTTTTTTTATGCTTAACCAACAAAATATTATTAAGGTTTAAATCGAAACATTGGAAATGAAGAACATATCATAACACAAGGATCGGGGCTATATATAGGCTTAGGCTAACAGATTAAAAACAAAATTCTGAGGGTGAGTGTTTTGTGATAGATGATATGCAGATGGTTCAGAACTCCACACGAACTATTTAACTATTTACAAAGAAGCTACTAACTAATATTTAGCAAATCAGGGAAATAGAAAGACCCCAACGTATTATCGGTTTGAATTGGTTCGATATTTCGGTGTAAATGTATCAAGGAAGTCAGTTTTAATCGTAGGACTATCTTAAAAACTTAAACTTTGGATACTATGGGTGTAAAATTACTTTTTTAGTCTTAAAATAGTATAATTTTTGAGAATAATTATAAAGAAAAAAAATGGTTGGACAACAAAGGAGTTTTTTTTAAGCTTAAAAAGTATTTTGCTCTACTTTATACTCGCATCTTAAAATAAAAGAAATTGTAAAGAAAAAAAATATGTACATATATATGTACATGAAAATATTAACACTTTTGAATAATCAATAAAATGTGTGTAAAGTTTAAAAATAAAGATTTTTTTAAAACAATCCAACGATTCAATCTTCACGACCAAGATAAACCTCTAGTTCTAACATTCAAAAAATCGAACCCTAAGCTAATTGAAGGACCTTAAAGCTTTTGTGGGACATCCTTGCTGGCTGACCCCGTTCTCTCGTGATTGACAATGAACTTCTTGGCCCCCGAAATTCCCTGTTTGTTGATGTAGAAGCTTTTCTGAGCCAGGGGCGACCCACCGCCGTCCGAGTCCACCACCAATCGATTGAGAAAGGTGGCGGCCGTTTTGGCACCACTGTCGCAGGATGAGGACTCTATGCTGATGGTGGAGCAGCCACCGATCGATGACGTCTCGCTCTTGGCATCGTCCATCAGCGTAGCATCGTCGGTCAAGTCATTGGCCAGCACCTGAGCGTTGGAGGATGCGGTGGATACGATGGAGGAGGTGCGGCTACGGCAGGAGGATGAGTTGATCTCCGATTCGGGTATAGAGATGCCTTCGTCGATGCTCTGGCTCTGACTTCCACCCGAAACGAGGCACATGGCTGCTTCCAGATTGGGGCCACTGCCCACTCCTCCAGGAGAAGCGGACACTGGCGAGGGGCATCCCGAGCTGCTGCTGTTGTTATTGTTGCCTCCACTACCAGATCCACTCACAGCGTTGTTTGTGCAAAGTTTGGAGATGAAAAGTTTGGGGGTAATGCGACCATCATAGGTTCCGGAATCCGGACTGGGACACACCGACGAGGGCGATTGGCAAACGGGTGAGGAGCCCCGGCTGTGGATACAAATATTTTATTATAATTAAATATTTCATTATATTTTCAGTTTGTTTTCTTTGAAATTATTTCATTGCCCAAACATTTGAAAAATTTGCAGATACCTTACTATACATTGTCGTGCAATAGCCTGGCTATTCAAAATGTTCTTTTAATTGGGAACCCAAACTATAAAGTGTTATTTTTAGTTTCTTGAAAACATTTTTCAGCCTCACCACAAACGCCTAATAATGTTTTTCAGCCTGCGAGTAGCTATATTTAATTTACCTTTAACTTCTGGCCCAGTTAGGAGGTGATATTTCGAAAAATTTCTATGCTCTACCAATTTCTTTGGAAAAGATATTTATGTTGATAGGCGATATCACCTACTATAATTTAAAATGCGATAAGACGACATGACAGGTGCATACGGTTTGCCAGAATAAATAAAAAAGGGATGACAGTGCTTTAATTAGGCTTCTAAAAATCTAAAAATATCTATAAACTGAAACCCTAAACCACTAAATTCCTTATCTTGGTGTTTTTTTATAGAACCTATCGGAAAGTATTTTTATTTCGCCAAGCCATGTAGTACCTGACTTTTGTAAAACGTGCCTTGGCTTTAATTACCAGAAGACTATAAATAGTAGAAATATAAAAAGTTGAAGGCAACTAGTTTGTATATAGCTTTCGATTTGTTTCAGAAACCTTCTAGACAACCTTTCAGACAACCTACCTTTCTGTAAAAATCTTTTTCAGCGGCGGCGGCGAGTACACACTCCAATTGCTGCCCTGGGCGGGATTATCGTCCAGCTCGAACTTTCTTTTCACTGGACCCAACTGCGAGGGTCTCATAGGGATTGGCGACATGGATCTCCGTGTGGCGAAGGTGCGCCGCGTTGGCGACGGCGAATAGGGCAGTCTCATGCCCGCCCGATTGCTGGTGGGACTTGGACTGGAGCAGCTGGTGCTGCCAGTGGGAGGCAGGGTAACTTGTAGGGGATTAGAAAACTCATCCGATTTGCAAGACCAGTTCTCGGTCACCAGGGTGAGGTCCTCCCAGCTCTGGGATATTTGAATTTCCCGGTGCACCTCCCTCTCATGGTTCACCTCGCGACTGTTCAAGTCGGCGCACTCCTCCTGCCGGAGCTGGGAGACCCTCGGGGTCAGACACAATGTGGCACCATTAGCGCCTGTGGTCAGGGGACTGTAGCTGGCCGAATACCGACGAGCTCGCGGGGTGAAAATATTGAAAACCGGAGCTGGAGAGACCTCCCTAGAGTTGGGTTGCGATCGTATGTGTATATTCTTCCCAAAGAACTGTGAATATTCTGTAGATTGTGGCTGCTGTTGTTGGTTCTTCTTCGGGGTCTGCTCGTGCTCCTTGGCCGCTGCTGCAGCAGCTGCGGCTGCCCGTGTGGTCATCGGAGTTTTGCCGGATTTGGAACCGGGCGGTGTCCTTATAATGGGCACACTGAGGCAACGTTTAAGGGTCTTTGAGCTGGCGGTAGGTGGCGGGGGTTCCAACGTGTCCATGGGCTCGGCCAGGGACTTTTCCTGCTGTTTCTCATCGCCACTGGCTTTCGTCTCCGTTTCCATTGCGGTCTATCTAAAAATATAAGGAGTTGTTTACATTTTGCGGGTATTTTTAAAGCCCTCAAGGGGGGCCATTACAAAAATATCTGTCTGTTCCCAATTGACCACGAGAGTCTATTCGAAATGAAAGGGTTTTATTTTATGCAAAAATATATTTTATTTTTACTTGTTTACTGTCTGGGGTAGCCTTCAGTTTCTGGGCATTTTATTTATTTATTCCAAGAGCTATTTATTCAAGACTTTTCATAATGTCTATGAAGATATGATCAGTTTTCAATACAAGATAGCTATATCTACTATGGGAACTTGTGGTCTTTAAAATGTATATCGATTTCTTTAAATACAACAATATTTACAAAATGCGGGAAAGAGTATAAAAACCTCGACTTGGGTTGTTTTTTCTTTTGCTTCAGATAAAGGTTTGTGGTTTGCCTTCTAATAGGAATTTTTGACTTTTCAGACTTTAGATTTTTGGTTTCTATAGTGGAAACCTCAAGATGATATCTTTAAGTTACCCCAACAAACCATCAAACAAAAAACATATGACAGTTAATATCAGAAATACCAATAAATGCAGCTGATTAAGATTGACAGTTTAATTTTAATTCTATCGATTACTGACAACGACTAACTAGTAAAAAAACAAAGGTTATTTTTAAATTTAAGAAAATCTAAAACTGGCTTAATGCACTAATATTAGATGGCTAATAGAAAAACCACCGGATCCGATTAAAGCCCTTCTCTGGCCCTCATAGTAGCGATCGATGACTGACCATCTTAATTGTTATGGAGCTCTTAGCTCATCCACTCATTTTAAGCCATATTTCGATATATTTTTCGGTTCCTAAAGTAGGATGGGAATGTCTTCCTTGTCCGCAGGACTTCGGGAGCAGCGACAGCGCAGTAGGCGTCTCTGCTGCCGCGGGCAGAGAGGTTGGCTGCTCTTTTTTTCTACCAAAAACTGCGTGCCTATCGAGGCAATTTTAACAGCGATTTTTCACACTATAACTACATGGGGCATTTCAAATAACTGTTAAATTAGGATCGCCAAATCATGAAGATCACTTTGCACTACCTACAGACTACTAAAATAACGTGCAAATGCCCCAAAATACTTACAAAATTGTGTCCTGCGATTGTAATTTTCTGCTGCCCGTTTAGTTTTTTTCTAGTGTTGGCAAACGAAAAAACACACGCTCCCACACACACGTTCTGGCAGTATGACACACTACGCGTGGGTTCCAAATTAAACAAATATCTTCAAAATTTATTTATTTTTTCGTTCAAAAGATACATGTGCGATTTAAGATTTAAATTATGTTTTAAGTTTCTCGCCAACTTCACACAAAATACTAGATTTAAGGATTTATTGCTAGTATGATGCTAGCAACCTTAGTCTGTCTGGCTTCATGCATCTCCAACCGCTGTCGCTGTTCAACACTGTGGGCGCGCAATTCAAAATCACTCGTTGTTATAGGTGGAATATAATTTATTAAATACCACTCTTAGGTTGTTTAACTAAACCCAAAAGTTTATCGTTCCAGTTGAATAAAAAAATACATACCTGAAATGCATTGATAGACACTGTTACATTTATTAATTATGAATAAATTATAAGAAACTTGAATGTATGAGGTTCTATCATACTCGTTTACAAACTTTTGTATTAATCTTTTGGTTTTTCCATCGTTTTTGGTATGTGTTTATCGTTAATAAAAATCACAAGAAATTATAGTAACACAGTTGGAACCAAGATAACTGGCTAATTGAACTCATAAATCATAGTAACTAAATATTAGCTTATTAAACTCTGTTCTTCATGTTTACTTATCGTCGTAATAGATTAGTTTTTCTCTCATTTAGCACAACTAATAATACTTAGGATATAAATATACATATACATTAATTAAATCGGCGAAAATGTTGTTTTTTTTTACTCATGACTACAATCTAAAGTTACATTTTAAGCTAATTTGTTGCTTGACGCGGTTTGTTTCTTAATTTTTTTTTGTATCCGCCTCGTTTATATTTTAATTCATTTTACTTTCCAAAGACTTTCTTCTTCTGTTACTTTCTGGATGGTTTTCAATTGAAATCGTTCGTTACTTGACACTAAAAAAAATGGTGAAACGATGGTCTGTATAGCGATTACATTACTGTGAGCGATTCTAAATGGGTGGCTGCTGTGGAGTATCAAATTGCATGAAGAGTTGCTTGGCAAATGCAGAGCTTATGAGCGCTGGTCTTCTTCCAGGACCGATTCGATCCTAACCATCGGCCAGGGCTGGGGTAACCCATCCGTACTTTTCGTGCGTCTTCACCAGAGATCGGAATGACTCCTCTGCTGTGCGCCTATTTGAGGGGAAGAATATTAAAACAAATTCTACAGAATTGCCTCTTCAGCTCACTTACCGACTAAACTCCTTTGTACTCTTTGGTTTGCGCATTATTCGACCTTGACCTTTGACAACGCTGGCGGCAAACTGCATGATAACAGCCTCGACAGTGTAGGCGCTGGCCCATCCCCTGGGCGTGAGCAACTCCATACAGATGGCACCACCCTCCATCACGTAGCCCTTCTCGATGCGCGGCTCCACCACCCGCATAAACGGCGGAGCAAACGGAAAGTTATCGGGGAAGCTCAAGTGCAGCAGAATGGCAGGTACGCCCAGCTCCTGCATGTCCCTGGCCAGCGGGGAGTCCGGATCGATGACATGCAATCGCACATGCCACTCAAAAAGACTGTCGTTCACGAGTTCCACCTTTTGGAAATGTTTACCCAATTAGTACTAAAGAATGGTGTCTAATAACCAAGAGGACTCACTGTGAAAACTGCATCATTCTTGGTCTGCAGTCGCTCCATTTCGCGGTACTCCTTCATGAGGCGGCGGGATCTAATGGACTGATCCGGCGCCGCCATCAACTGTCGTCCCACCGTGGGCGCCACTCTGTAAGATTAGATTGAAGAATCCTGGTTCTTAAACTGAGACTTTTACGTTTATGAGTTTTTTGTTTTTTTTTTTGTTTGTTTTTTACACAAAATACTGAACTATAAGACTAACAAAAACAAAACAAAAAAAAACTAATTTCACATACTTGTGATCTTGTCGTCGCCGCTTGCCTGGTGAGTCCCAAACGGGCTGATCGGCGGGTGTTGCCATCCGGACTACTGCGTTCTTGGATGAGGATGCTGCACCACCCATGGCTCCCGCACCCATCGAAGAACTAGAGGCTGCTCCTCCTTCATGGTTATTGTTGGTTATATTCGGATTACTACTACCAGTGGCTCCATCAACCTTGTCATTGTTGTTGTTATTATTATTATTATTATTATGGTTGTTGTTGTTGTTGTTATTGGTGGACTTGTGGTGGAAGATCTTGCGGAATGCAGTGACGACTCTCTCCTTGGAACGGGATGACATTTTGATAAACTGGACACTTCCTGGTGTGTTGAGCGGTGGTGGCTTTTGATTTCCTTATAAGCTTACAAGTACAGTAGTACCTCGTAGTACAGTGGTGTGTGGGCGTGGTGGTTCAGTCTTTTTCATTAAATTGTTTCTGGTGCTAAAATCGATGCTAAAATTAAATTAAACAAAGAAAAACAAATTAACTTTAATAAAAATACAAATATTAAATAAACTCTTCTAATCTTGTTATTTAAGAGTACCCACTTGGAAGGAAAACTTTCGAAATTAGCATTTTCTTTTAAAGGCCCGGGAGTTGAGGAAAATTAACATACTTGTGCATGCTGAGGGTGCCATTACTTGGAATTTGATTCCCTTCCAGCAATTTTCATATTTTAGTAGCCCTCGAAGCCTCCTCCACCCCTATTGCGTGACCTTGAACTAGGAGCCAACCATCCAACCACATGAATAAGCAAAGATACTTTACCATGTCTAGCAGCCATAAGCACAAACACATCATCATCCTTGGGCGAACTTTTCAAGCAGAAGGAAAATATGTTAAATACCCGTCGCCGACTCGACAAAAAAACAAAACATTTTCCAAAAAAAAGGACGACATGGAAACTTATAACAAGTGGCAGGAGAAGGAGGGTCCTTTACAGAAAATAAAATTATGAAAGGCAGTTGAGAAGTATTCTTCAGAAAGATATTCCTAGAAATATATGACTGGAATTAATATTTAAGATTTAAATTAAAACTGTAGATTCATAAATCATTCTAGTCTTACAAAAATAGCTACTCTAACCTTCTAATTTATTATTTTAAATCATATTCACCCTCTAGATAAAGCTTCATAATTGAAGACCCAACCTCAAGCTTATTCTTCTTGAATTCTTTAGGAAAAGCGTGTTCTCCACCTCCATAATCCTAGTCATCTCTTCATGTCCGAGGTGTTGACCGAGCATGGTCTGGCCAAATTGTTTGCTTTTCGCATAATTAGCTTTGGCCCCGACGCTCGAGGTCCTCAAAAGGGATTCTTTGGGTCACTCCTGGGCTGTGGGTGGCTTTGGGCTCTGGGCTTGAGCCAAAAAGAATAAAAAAAAAAAAAAGATACCTAAACTTTGTGGCCAAGGACAACGGTCGAGGGTGTCGTGGGTGGCACTTAGGGACTATTATTATTCTAAAAGGCAGAGATAAATGCGAGCTGAGATAAAATCAGCTTCAAGGGAGCATAAGGAGAGTTGCCAAAAGCCAAGGAAATTGCAAAAAACAAAAAAATATATATATATATATAGTTAAATATAATATAGTTAAATATATAATTAAATATTAAATGGAAGAAGTTTTAGGTATATTTTTATATTCGCTTTTTATTTGGCCCTTAACTGGTGAGATACATGTACTGTGAGATATCAGTAAAGAGGGATAATAAAGCTGTTTGTTTGGGAGGTTCTACCAAAAGGTAAGAAAGAGCCTTCTACTTCTCTAATCCTATAGATGATACTATTATAAAAAACCTATCCAATACCTCTAAGCTTTATTAAACAAATTATAATTGATTGGTGGTATCGATGACCCTGACTATCCCTTCATAAATGACCCTTCCGTTCCAGACTCATTAAGAGTTCATCAAGGTTCGAACTATCCAAGTTCTGGCCCATCCTTCCTATATCCTTCCTTCCTTTTGTCTTTTCCGCCCAGTTATTGGCCATTTCCTGCAGTTCTAGCTGCGTTCCAGCTACGTATTTTTAGAAAAAGTTTATACACTTTTGCTTTCAGTCCAGTCAGGAGGCAGAAAAAACTGAACCAGGCAGAAACAAAGGCGCCACAGGTCCAAAAAAAAAAGAAAAGATAGCCAAACATGTTCCACAAACAAGGCAGACAAAGAAGGAAAATAGTCACAAGAATGGCAAGGGGAATATTTCCTGTGGCAGCCACACATTTCAACATTTCTGGAGTTTGGGGCATTTATCTAAACCAAATAAATGTCAACTATGGCTGGAATAGATTCCATCCTCAAAGGCAGGAGAGACTCTTCAGATACGAGAATTCAATTCAAATGAGGGTGGAACTCTTTATAGTTTCTTTATAAGTCTTTATAGTTTAATTATCTAGGAAATATTTATTTTATAAAATCTCCAGCTATATATTTAGCATCTTCTTTAATTCAAAAGCCAAGACATATTTTATTTATTTATTTTTTAAAACCAAATACCACCCTAATTCATATAATATATCTAGAGATTTGGCGACACACTGACTACACGGGTTGGGGTTATAGTACACAGATATATATACATACATATATCTTATCTGGCGCCATAGAAATCGATAAAGAAAATGCTAAAATGCCAGAAGCTGTCCTGCCACCCCACCACCCACTTTAGTCCATATCTTATCCCGCACTATAACTGACCTATCCCATTAAGATACTTCATAATGGCCTTAGAGACCTAGAGTTATTCTTAAATATACTACAATTACCAACAAGCAATGCCCTCTTAACCAGGCTAATATATATGGGCCAGAAGCGTGGGAAAATCAGTGTGTAATAAACAAGCTAACCAAACAATTAATAAAAACATTCTTTTGGTAAATCCATAAAATCCATACATACATATATCCATATACCCGGTAGACATACTCGTAATCAGATCGAAACATATATGCAGAATATGTCTACAATGTATACATAGTATATAGCGCTCGTGTATAAACAAGTCGGGGCATGTTTATTGTTGTTGTTATATTTGCATGCAAATATCCTCGCCTGTCGCATGCAAATCGCATATCCGCGAATATTTAAGCACGAAAGTAAAAGGAAAGAAAATGCAAAAAAAAATGCAGAAAATACCAGAAATACCAGAATAATAACTGTGTCAGTTTGGGGATCTGCTCAGGTATGGGTTCTTGCTCTCCTTAAGCGCTTTTTTTTTATTGATTTTTGTTCTGGATGAGTGACTTTTTAATTAAATTCCAAATGATAAGCGTGAAAAAACACTGCAAAAAATTATTCACTAGGATATTGATAATTTATTTTATTTTTAAGAAGAGTTTAGAGAAGTTTCTCTTCTAGACCATGTATAATTTTAGTTATTTCTTTTATTTAAATTTATAAAATCCTTTTTTTTAAGTGTAAAAGTCTTGTTTCATGGCATCTCGCTCGTTAATCTTGTGCTGCTTCTGGTGCAGTAGCTGAAAAAAAAATGCGGAAATATTTTGTAAATGGGGGCCTGACTGGAGGGGCGCATCGAGAACCGCTGACTAATGGCCCCTGCAACAGTTCTTTGTTCTCGGCCATTAGTGAGTGAACACCTACCCACACAATCAGACTATATATATATATGCTATATATACTATATGCAGTATGCAGTGCTGCCCCCAGTGATTCTGCCACGCGCCTTTGATGGCAAGTCTTCCTTCTTATTCGAGATGGAAATTCTTTAATGGCCCAGTTGGAAACTTTTTCAATTAAAAACTATTGCATCTTATTTTTTATTGAATTAAGAGAGTCGGAATCGTGATCAATGTTTAAAAATCATAATATATACAGCCCTGGACAGCCCCTACCCTTGTTATGGCTTTGTTATAATTTATTTATAAACAATTCCAAAGCTGGGACTGAGACTGGGGCTGGGGCAGCTCTCGGGCACATTCAAATTGAATTAAGACCAGAGTACTGATTCGGTTGGACTGGCCTGGGCCTGGGGATGGGTCTGGGACTGGGACTGGGACTGGGTCTGGGACTGGGAGCTTTTTAAATGCACATTCAGCATTAATCAAGGCCAGGCGGGCATCCCTCGGTCTTCATTGTTTCCTGGTTAGTTGCCAACCAAATCGAAGTGCTTTGTCACTCGGATGGGGTTCGTTGACTCTCCAGAACTCTGAAAGACCAGAATAATTCCACATAACTGACTAACGGACCGTGACAGATGGTGATGCTTTAACCTCGTTATGGTCTTGGATGAAGTTGACCTTGGGTTATGTCTCTGTTGGTATGTTTATCATCTGGGATGTGGCGCCATGTGAATGACTCTTGAACTTGGCCTTTTAACGAAGAAGGTAATACACTCTTAGCCATAATGATATAATAGCTTTCTAGATATTTTTATTCAAAAACAGAGGCCTTTCTTGGCCTAGAGCCACATTCTGTTTATGTATTTATTAAGCCTCTGGCAGCCATTGCCAGCACGTAGCAATAGATACCGAGATAGGAGCACAGCTCCTAGACAACCCACACGAGTGGGTATGTATGTGTGGGAGTGGACCGACCCAACCCGACCCTATGTCACCCTGGCTCAGGCTCGGGATGGGGGGCGCGTGTTTCATTCAAACGGAAGCCATTTATGAAATTGCTTTCGACAAGAGAGAGCAACAAAGGCAGTGGCAATAGCAACAATGGCCACATCTCATGGGTTAAAAGTGGACTTTGGCCTGGACATCCAGACGCATGGAGGACGTGTGGGTGGCGAGAAGTGTCACTTTGGCGCGTCACTTGATGACGTTGGTGGTTCGATTGCAGCTCAGACTGGAAACACTTTCAAAATATATATGTATATTCTTTTGGAATTTAAAAATTTTCTCTCTCTGTAGCTGGGATGTTTATTGCTTCGTATGTGAAACGACCTGTCAGCTTGGCTCTTGTCGGGTGTCAGAGCTAAGCACTCTGGATAGCGGTTATGGCGCACCAGATAAGCTGGCAGGCTGTTTAATGGCCAGGGATGGGCCGATTGTTGCTTAATTTTCCAATATCTTCTAGGGCTATTATCTGGGTCATATCATTGTCTAAAAGTTGAGGCTTGATATAGCTTTAATAATCACTCTTCAAACCTTTAACTCCCAACCGGGTACTGTGATGACGTCAATGGCTGACCTGAGCACTTAACGACACCTGCCACATTGTTTATCGCCTCTGCCCCCAAAACACCTACTTCATGCAACATGCATAGGCTAGGGTTCATCTAATTGCGGCGACCCCTGGGCTCCTTGAATCTATTTATAGGCCTCCCATTGGACAACAACTCCCATTTCCATGGCTATGCATAATCAATTTGTGGATGCGCCGCCGCATCCTACATACATACTCCTCCCGGGTTAAATCTATAAATTAATTCAGGCGTAAAAATAAAATGCCTACTCGGCGGCGGCTGGCCCATAAAAAGTGCTATGTGCCAAAGTGCACACACTGTGAACCCTGGAGCCCACAACCCAGAACCCAGGACCCAGTACCCAGGCTTGGCTGATCAAGTGCGATTTAAATGCTCAACATGTCCGGAGGCTGGAGCAGGATATGGCTGTCACAGTAGAGACTCCAAATAATAGACTTTCTATTTTTTTTATTAAAATTCTTATCATAAATCACAAAATTAATAGGTCATTTCTCAATAATTAGGTTTCAAAGCCATCTGGCTTTAATTATGTTATTTATGACACTTTTCTGGGTCGTTACAGCCTTCTCCGAGTAATAAATATTTATGATGCATTTTGAATAATTAATTGTTTCCCATATTTATTAGTTTCCACTGTAGACAAGGATGAACAGAGCTTTGGCGCCTGTCTTATTGCGTTAGAAGAGCTCAAGAGGAAGGGGGAAAAGCACACATACCTATACACATATATAAGACAAAAAAGGAGAGAAAGGAGAGAATAGGTCTAGAGCAGGCAAGACATACTATCTATAGTCGAAGCTTATCCGCGTTCAGGCACCCTTTCTCCCTTGCTCTAATGTTGGTAGTGCCTCCTCTGATTTCATTCATGAATACCAAACAATATCCGACTTCTTGGCTTCTAAGAAGGTGGGGGGTGGGGGGTGGCTTGGTGGGCGTGAAAATGCCAGCAGTAAATAAAATTTTAGCATTTTCTGCTTCTTCTTATTCATTTCCGTTCATTTGCTTAGATTTATTCCACACTCTGCCATTTCTTTTCATCTCACTTACTAAAGCTTCTTCTTCTTCTTCCTCTTTAACTGTCACTGGCAATAAAAGGCGAAAAACAACAACAACAACAAAATGGCCAAAACATGAATGGAATTGAATAACCAACAAAATGTGAAAAAAAAAAGTTTCTAGATTTTTCGTTGAGGCCCTTTTCTCTTACGTATTTTTTGTATTTTTTTTTTTCGGTTGCTCCTTTATATTTTCATTTCGCTGAGCTTGTTATTTTTAGCTGGGATTTTCATTTTCTTTTTGTTACATTTTGCTGGGCTTTCCTTGGGCTGTGATTTAAGGAAAATTTTGTATGAAAATATTATACCAAGTCCCTGTGAACTTACTTTGGTCATAAGACTAATGAAAAGTTTATGGTTTTTGGTATTTTTTTAAAGTAATTTCAAGAGTACTTACAACTTTGGAAATTATTCTTAGAGATGAGAAACATTTTTAAATGAATTTTTATTATAAAAAATAGAAAAATCGCTAAAGATAACCTTCAAATAGAGAGTCTAAGCCTTTTTAAATAATTTATTTAATATTTTTCTTTATAATAATCCTTTATAAATATTTTAAAACCATGACCTGACCATGAAAACATGGCCTTAAAATAAAACCACTCAAAACACAACGAAACCCTCGAAATATTCTGTATCAAGTTCAATGAAAAGCTGACATTGAAAGAGCGAGAGAGAGAGAAGAGGAGAGACCACAGCTTCCTGGCATAGCAGCCAGCCACCTACCCCATTCAGTTCCAAGGCAAAAAAAAAAATAAATCCTGACCAATGTCAAAAGCTAAAGTGCATTGAATAGAACAAGCACAAACAAGTTGACAAACACTGGCGTCCACACGCGGCGGCGCCTCCTCAGTCATGCTTTCAATTGAAAATCGAAGGGACTACAGGAGGCATCGTGGAGAGGAAGAAGCAGAGGTATGCATGGCATGAGAAAGAGAAGACAGCTCAAATAACACAAAGTTCTATTGCGAGGAGTGAGAGGGAAAGCCTTTAATTGGCAAATTGTTTTTGAGACGCCAAAACTAATAGCAAAGAGGGGGAGAAAAATAAAAGACGGCAAAAGAGCGTCTACACACAGATAACGGTAACGCAAACAAGTACACAAACTTGAAAAAAAAAAAAACTTACCAACGCGCAAAATGCAGTTTCGCCTTTGTTGATTTTTTCCCACGAAGCGTGTTTATCAGTGTTTTTTTTTTGTATATGATTGCAACTATTTCTTTTGTTGTTGCTTCCAATGCAATTCACACAGACCAACAAATGATACAATAATACTAATTCCGCCGCCGACGACGCAAAAATCAATCAAATTCAATTGCTATTGAACAGACTCCGGCGTACTTTTATCTTTTTTTGTTTACTACCCAGCAACAACAACTACGCATTCGATTTTTTCGCGCTATGCAAAACAAGTTCAGACAGGCTGCAGTTTTGGCGTTTTCAGTTTTCCGATTGGCACTTCCTGCATATTTTCGATGCGACCGTAGGATTACAGAGCTTCCTGCGCCGCCCGCCTGTTGTTCTTCGAAGTCAAATGCAGTGTGACAGTATACAAGAGAGGTGAAGTAACATCGATGTCATCGATAACAATAATCGATTTTTTAAATTTCTGACTGTGCATCGAACAAGGAACACGTCTAAATTTAATTTAATAAAATGAAAGATAATTTGTATAAAATTATTTCTTTAAAATTACCAATATTATGTTTTTATTCGATACATTATAATCTTACAATTCATAGGGAAAATGAATTTATACTTGGCGCTTCAAAGATAATAACTTGGCGCTTCAAATGGCATGATATTTTTGTGTTAATATTTAGAGTTTGTATTGAAAAGTAATATACATTTATACAAATAACTAAATTAGAATAATTGTAGTTTTAAAGAAAAAGTTGTATTTTTAATAAACTTACGGTATTTTTTAGCCATTCTGGTTCTTTTTTTCCCCACTGGAGGCGCTGCATCTGTTATCGAGGCAAAGGAGTTTCTATCGGCGTTTATCCACCTCTAAATAAAAACCTTAAACTAGATTATAAAAAAAACGTCAATTTAGTGCAATTTATTGCAGTAAAAACCCAAAAATTAGGTAGCCATAAGACTGTAATAGACCGACTTCAGCTCGTCTGAATCATCGAAAAAGAACAGCACAGCGTGACAAAGGAAAACAAATCGCAACCAAAATGGTGAGTAATAGCCAAAAAAATGACAAAACAACAAAAAAAAGGTGTCGAAGATCGGTGCCGCCCTTGTAGTGGCTAAAAGAAATTGGAAATTAATCCCTAAAAAGGTCGGTCACCAGGGTGGCAGTGCGGGACCCAAAACATGCCCATATATGGCAATCGTGGCAACTGCTTACCGGTGGCTACCTCCCCCTCTCCCTTTGTCACCCTTATCTTCGATACGAATGACTCAAGTTAGTGTTTAATGTACCGTTATCTTTCAGTCTGAGATGCAAATGGACTGTGCTTTGGATCTGATGCGTCGCCTGCCGCCCCAGCAGATCGAGAAGAACCTCATCGATCTGATCGACCTGGCGCCGGACCTGTGCGAGGACCTTCTGTCGTCGGTGGACCAGCCCCTGAAGATTGCCAAAGACAAGGAGCATGGCAAGGACTACCTGCTGTGCGACTACAATCGCGACGGGGACTCCTACCGTTCGCCGTGGTCCAACACCTACTACCCGCCGCTGGAGGACGGCCAGATGCCCTCGGAGCGGCTGCGCAAGCTTGAAATCGAGGCCAACTACGCCTTTGACCAGTACCGCGAGATGTACTACGAGGGCGGAGTGTCGTCGGTGTATTTGTGGGATCTCGACCACGGTTTTGCTGCTGTGATACTCATCAAGAAGGCTGGTGATGGCAGCAAAATGATCCGTGGCTGCTGGGACTCCATTCACGTGGTGGAGGTTCAGGAGAAGACCACCGGTCGGACGGCCCACTACAAACTCACCTCCACGGCGATGCTGTGGCTCCAGACCAACAAGCAGGGCTCCGGTACAATGAACCTGGGCGGTTCCCTCACCCGCCAGACGGAACAGGATGCCAATGTTAGTGAGTCGTCGCCGCACATTGCCAACATTGGAAAAATGGTTGAGGAGATGGAGAACAAGATACGCAACACCCTCAACGAGATCTACTTTGGCAAGACGAAGGACATTGTGAACGGGCTGCGCAGCACACAGTCGCTGGCCGATCAGCGCCAGCAAGCGGCCATGAAGCAGGACCTGGCGGCCGCCATCCGGAATCGCAACGTCAAGCCCGATTCGAACTGAGAGCCCGAGAACCGAGCACTGAGCGGCTGAAGGCGGCAGGCTGCAGGCTGCATCTGCACCCCCGCCCTCATACAATTCAATTTCAAGATAAACCAACCATAGCCCTAATCTAGCAATGCAAGGTCTCTCAACCTCACCGCATGATCTCGGATGTAATAAGATGTGAATTATATAGCTGCCACCAAAGAAATATTACCTTAATGGTAAAAATTTTGGTAATATTTCAGTTCAGCTACAATTCCCCACTATTCACACCCGATGATCAGTAGGTCGGTGAGCTTGGAGACTCTGCATCAGATGCGGTGGGTATTCGATAGCAGACTAAAATTATGGAAAATATGCATTTGTAGGCAGTAAATTTGTTAAAAAAAAAAGAGAGAATTGTTACACGAAAATGATTAATTGTAAAATTGCGACTGTCTCTCCTTTGTCGACCACCCCCGCCCATATTGTTGCAACTTCGAGACGTCCTACGCCCCAGAAACCAATATAAACAGTTCAGCAGGAACGCCAACTTCGCCGCCCTCAAGACAGTATCTATAAGTATTTGTATCTTATTTGTAAAATGCATATTTGTACCGATATCGGCTGCAAATGAGTTCTCAGTTCAGTTCTCAGTACTATCATTTGTGGATCCGTTTTTTATAATTCTTCCGCGAATAAATATTGTGTTTATTAATTAATGTGTGTGTCTCTGTGTATACTCTAACACTAAGAGGAGCTCGAAGCGAAATATTTAAACGAACTAACATTTTTTTAAATTGTATTATTACTGAGGAAATGCACATTACATTACCTTTCTTTTAAACTTAATAATTTTTTAACAATGAAGGCAATGAGAGAAATTTTATACAAAAATTGAAAACTAATAAAATAATGAAATAAATCGAGTTTGTTTTTAATTTTTTGGAGTGGGGTATTAGTTTATTAGTCATTCATGATAAAGTAGTTCCCCTACTTTACGATAAGAACCCCTGATTAAATAGAACCCTCCTCACTTGATATCTACCTTCATTTATTTATGAAAAAAATCGTAGATCTTAGATTTTTTTTTGCTTGAAAATAAATTTAAATACGTTACGGTGTGTTTTGTGTGTCGTATTTGATAGTGTGCTTACATATAGGTATTTATTCTTGAATGATTTTCGATTATCAGCAGATAAAGTTAAAGTTTTCCTTCTTCATAATTATAACAGAATACATCGTACATTTATATCGATCGTTTATCGTTTTTCGCTTTGTGTTACCAGCTATATACAAGAAGGCGACAATTAGCTCGAAATCCATTAAGTTTACGATTCGTCGCTATAGTTATCTACAACTTAGACTAGGTATTTACGAATAAGTTAGATTTATTTAGCGGGAGGACGTGAGCGTATTTTACACGGGTTGGGGTTCGGGTTCGGATTCCGGGGGTTTATCTCCGACTGGTCCGGACATATGGGAAGATCAGTAGTAGCAGTAGGAAAGCAGTAAAACTTCTCGGATATAAATAAAATAAAACACATTGCGCATTTCAGCTATACTGCGGGACGAGACCCGGAAGTGTGAATGTCCAACCAATATGCATAAAGTCTCTTGGGTCCAGCGAAAGTCACAGCTTATTGCATTTTGGAAACCTCAAACTTGGTGTTGATGATTTCCTCATCCGAGTCCAGCACTGGCAGAGCTGGATCCACCATTGAGGAAGGTATGTTCTCCTCCACCCAGCGTAGGTCATCCTCCTCGGTTGTGGTGGTGTTTCGAGTGGCAGTTGAGGTCTTTGGTGTACCATTCTGGCCACGCATCTTCACGCCATAGGCATCGGCCACAAACTGATCCTCTTCGTCTACAAGAAACATGGTTTTATAAAATATTCTCCATTAGGATTGAGGTCTATCTTACCCTCCTCGTCTTCATCCTCCGGGTTGTCCAGCAGAGGCGTGAAGGCATACCGTTGATTGTTATTTGTTGGTCGCCATAGAATCATAATCACAAGCAGCAGAACAGAAAACAGAATGTGCCAAAATCCAGTATCAATCCAGATATCACGCCAGCCCTAAATCGGGGAAGAACATGTATAAGTATAAGGTCTTTTTGGCGATTCTTTGTTCTTCCTAATCAACTCACAGGCGTACAATTCTCTGTTCTACGGAGACGCAAGGCAAACAGCATAAATATGACGGAAGCAATAACCGCAAAGATTAGGGTGTTGGTAAAGTGCCTGTACAGAGATAGCTTCACCATATTCCTAAAATAAAAAGATGTCAAGATGCTATAAGCAATCCAAGCGTTTGGAGGGCTTCACTTCCTCACCTTCTAAGCCGAAGAGTACGGGTAGTCTGTACCAGAGAGGTAAAGATCCACCAACAGATGCCAGTGTCCAGCACTGCCAGAGGTATGCTGGCCACCAGGAGCTCACTGCGATCACTCTTGACATTGGTGATGCGCAAATAGCTCTCCACGCAAGCCAGAACAAAGTATAGAGTGCCGACTCCCACGACGCGGTGCAGCATGGGTCCCAAACGGGGTCTAGAAGAGATAGTTTCAAGGTCAATCTTAAATCATGTTTAGTGAAAATTCCACTCACTTGACAATTCCAAAGCCCAGACTCATAATGATGACCAGCATCCTGGCCAGAGTGCGCTTAGCGCAGGACACAAACTCGGCCACCAATTCAGCATGCTGCACCGCCACTCCCGTGTTGGTCAGTGTCTGGTACTCGGCGTAGAAGAAGGCCTTCTCCAACATGCCCAGCAGTATGACGCCACCTATCCAGAATTGAATTCTCAGCAGATCTCGCCATTGGGCAAAAGAAACAAACAGCCAAATAATTCCAAATATAACGTAAACAATGCACATGATCAGATAGAACTGTAAACAAAATCCATTATTAAAGAATCATTCACTCTTTAATCATTCACTTACTGGTAGGAATGGCCAGTCGATGGCCGAAATAAATCCATGTGGTCCCAGGAACTCAATGTGGACCACAGCGCTGAACTGGGCTTGGGCTTGCACCGGTGTGATAAGGATTTCAATTTCGTAGATGCCATCGTCTTTAACGCTCGCAATGGGGTTTGTTGTGGGCTATAAAAAAGTCGAGTTGTTTGAAAAAAAAAAAACGGAAATATAATGCCTTGAAGACTGAAGAACTAGAGCTCTTCAAAGGTTAGCTCGACCCTATGATACTCTTTACTATATATTAAAGTTATAAAGATATTCTAGGTCTAGTTGTCAAGCTTCTATAAACATTTGTTTGATTGCAAAGTCTTGATGTTCTACAAAAAACTCTTAGACTTATCTAGTCTTATCAAACTTGCTTCTTATTTCACAAACTTTTTAATTAAAATTATCAACTTAAGTTATATCTATAAACTAAAACGGAAGCGGAACAACAAGACCTATATATCTCCAACAAGGTTGTCAGGGAAACTAATGTTTAATTCGCTACGGAAACGGCATGCCCGCCATACCACATACCCTATGTTCTGAGAAACGATAAGCCCCTAAAACTGATAACGCGAAATACAAAAAAAATTCACACTTCTACTAGAGGCGGTGTAGTAACCCATATAATTACGCTCCCACACCGCTCCCCGTGGCTGAGTCATGTGAAGCTCACCGAAAGCGGGTGCTTGTTTTCCTTCATGGGATGTTTGGGCTCCGGCGTTGCTCCAGCTCCCTCCAATGTCTTGTCCTTGTCTGGCAGGAGAACGATGAGGCCATTATTACAGGTGTACAACTTGCTGACAACCGCTATAACGTTGTTAATACTCGAGTTTGTTTGCTGGATGGGATTCTCGGCTATTGATTGGAGCTGAAATTATGGAAGAATTTTGAGAAATTTAAGATCTGCAGAAGATAGAGAATCCTACCATTCGATCATCAAAGATGCAAGGATGCTCCGTCAGCCGGAATGTTATGTTCAAGACCGTCTCCACCTTGGCAATGCATCCCTTAACTGAAAACACGAAAGGGTGTGGTGGTTAGAGGGCAGGAACTGGGTATTAGGATTCGTCACAGCTCATGGAACTTACGTTGTGCATAGATTTTCGTATTGGCCAGTAGGGGACGCTGCTCCCGAATGTTCGGAATGTCCTGTGGCAGAAAGGAATCGAATTGATTACGTAGCCGGAAACAAAAGACCCGACATGCGGCATACACATATTTGTTTTGTTTCCTCCGCGGGGGAGGAAGAAAGGCCAAGTTCTTACCGTGAAAACGGGGATATCCACAATGCCAGCATCTGATTTGGCGGATGTTCGTATTGCCAGGGTGAGTAGCGCCAACGCGGCTACCAAAAGCGTTGACGTTTTCTGCATTTGACGTGTTATATACTCCCCACAATAGGACCCTAAATAAATAAAAATATTATTTCCTCTGCTATTCGGTTGGCGGCTAGTGTGACCAGAGTTCGAGTGTGTACAAGACAGTGTTGTCTAATTAAGAAAGTCCAATTGGAAGGGAAATAATTTAAAAACATTTTTAAAATTTCTAAGCTTGATAATGGTCTTAGCCTGATACTTTTAAAGATATGCACTTATTATTAATTATTTTATATCATTTAATTTAGCTTTTCTTGAATTCCAAAGCAATTGCAAGCAGTGTCAAGTCTCTGTTAAAATGCACTGCTTGCGGGATAACAGCTGTTGTGACATAACCTGACAGAATCCACCAAGATGCTCCGCCGGGTAAATAAACCTCCAAAAAATGATAAATTGTTTATTAAAATGCATATTTTTGCATGTTTCAGTTGTTGCCTACTGTGTGCCGGACGTGGCAGGTGCCGAGGGCCACCATCACAGCTGTGAGAAACGCCAGTGGCAGTGTTTATGAACCGGACTATCTGGAGGTTGGTCTACGATTCAGATTTGGTGTCTTTTTATCTAATTACCATTTAAAAATCCCGCAGTCCCTTAAGCCGAAGTTCCCCCAGTACGAGAGCCTTAATGTCCAGATCAAAGGCTATGACTATCCCCAGTTGGAGAGCTACCAGCGCTTCCTGCACGGCTTGGCCGAGTACCTGGAACTGGACGTCTCCGATTGCTACGCCCTGCCGCCCCAGCAAACCCAGGTGCAGCGGCTGCGTCCCAATTCCGCAGTCATCGAATCAGAGTACAAACTGACCACATACGAGCGCAACCTGCAGCTAAACAACGTGGATGCCCCGGTCTATCCTCAGTTCCTGCGCATCGCCCAGGCGGCACTGCCCGAGGGCGTCAGCCTGCAGGTGCAACAGCACACGGATGACTGTGAAGAGCGTCGATATGTGCCCGACAAGGAGCTGCTGGACCTCAAGTCCGAGCTGGAGCGCATGGGTGGTGCCACCCCCACCAAGAAGAAGTAGAGGAGCACTTCCGATTTTGGCAAACATCTAGGGCTAAGCTTTAATAAGTAACTTGTATAAAGTGTAGAGCGGAACTTATTGCATAAAAAACTTTCCTATTTAAAGCTTTGCACTAACTAAAAAATGGACGGCAATAGTTACAGACGAGTGGAAGCTCTAAACCGAAAGTGTATCAACTTCAAGATTGCACTATGAATTATTAGCTCAGACCACGCCGAAGTGGACCACCTTGATGGACGACGAGGAGGAGGAGGTGTTTTTGCTGCTGCTTTGTTTTGAATCCTCATCCCGGCGTCGGGTAGGGGGCTTGGTCATATCTGTAGGAGGATTATCATTAGATTTCTTTGAAAGAATATAGGAAACCCATACTTGTAGTAATTGGATTAAAATCCTTAAGATATTCATCGTTGGGATGACAAAGTGGCAAGCTGTCAGCCAGCTCCTTCTTAGGATTGGTCAGATGCCGCGTGGCTGGCCTGGAGTAACCGTTTCTCTTGGGCGGCATCGGTTTCTCCTTGCGGGGAATCTCCTAAAAGCAAAATGAGTACTTGGATGATACCATTCCTGACCATTTCTGGTTAAAATCTTACCGGCACCACCGCCACCTGTATGGTGTCCGAGAACTTGACCTTGTTCTTCTCGGCCGTTTGTGATTTGGCACTGGGTGTGGCTGCCTCGCCGTTCGCCGGCGCTGGATTGGCCGGATTGGAAAGAATGGAAGCAGTTGGCTTCTTGGACAGCAATCGCTTCTGGTAATCCTCACTGGTGACGTTCGGTAGCATGGCGGGAATATTACCAGACACCAACGGGTGTTGGTAGAATTTAGGCTGATAGGTGGCCGTTGGTGGGGGTGATGTCGCTGGCAGTGCGTATTGCGCTCCTGGATCTGGTCGAAGCGGTGGACTGCTAGGCATGGGAAGGCCTACCGTCTGATCTGGCACATCCTGGGACCATACGTTGCCTAGAAAAGAGCATAATTACACACCAATCTCTGCTAGAATTCAGTTTTTCTTACCATTCACATTGGAACTCTTCACAGGTGCCTGGTGGAGACTGTTGCTCTTCAGGGACAGGCTGGCCAGTGAAGTGGCTGGAGGTGCTAGGGAGACCTTCGGCAACGGCGGCCTCAGCTCTGGCTTAGGTATGTTGATCTTTATCATCTCGGCATTAAAGATCTTTGACTTGAAGGAGGGCAGTGGTGGCACGTATGTTTTCATAACCTGCTGTCCTTGCACCAAGCTAGAACCAGTTCCAAGTCCTGATCCAGTTTCCGTGCTCTGGCCACGCATCAGATCCGAGCAAGTCGATTGCGAACAGGCCGACTCGGAGCGCAGGTCACAGGTCAGGCTAAGGTTTCCGTTGGCACGGTCCTCCTCGTGGATTATGGCAGCGGCCTGACTGAAGGCTACTTGGGAAAACTCCCCCAGACTGGAGATGCACTTGGTCAGGTTGTACAGATCCATGAACAGGTCATAGTCCCCCACGTCCTGGGCTATTTCAAATGCCTCCGAAAAGAGGTTCTTCCGCAAAAGATAAAAGCAGAAGCGTCGCTTTAAATCAAACACCTGGTCACTGAACTCATCTTTCGTCTCCTCGGAAAGATTGTGGGCGAATGTTTTAAGGGCTCGCGCCATCAGCTCGATGCGGGGACGACGCTGATCTCCGCCAAAGAACACATAGTTGGCTATTTTGTGGAGTGTGATGAGGCACATGGCTCCGTAGGTCTCCCAATTGAGGGCGGAAAGGACATTCACCGCCCGCTCCGGTTGCTGGAGTCGCAGGTACTTGTCTGCAATGACGTCCGCGGTGAGGCCCGAGTTGTGGATATCCCCTCGCATTCCAGCGCCGCCAAAGATGCGCATACAGGCCAGCGGCCCCTGCTCATAAATCAACAACAGCAGACAGTCCGTCTGGGCGTAGGTGTGCTTGAAGCTGGTCAGGTCCGGTTTCCGACTGAAGGCTACGTTCAGGAGCGTCGGTTGGGCCACGAAATAGTGCGACAGATCCAGCAGGTTCAAGGGGGTGACACTCTCGCTGACCAGCTGATGGCCAATGGTGGCCAGAGCCAGGTCAAAGCACTGCAGCACGGATCGCTCATTAGCGACACACAGCATGGCGGAGTCACAGTGCCAGGCGCACTGGTTCGGAACGATCTCGATCTGGTTGGCGTACTTCGTCGACTGCTGGACCAGGTCGTGCAGGCAGATGTTCCGATCAATGCTGCCCAGAAAGAGCTTCTCCTGGTCCGGGCTGAAGGCGAACGAACAGATTTGGGCGCCCATTGGTATCGAGGTAATGGCGGTGCGTTGCATCTTGCCGGCGGCCAGTTCATAGGAACAGATCTCAGCACTGATGTCGCCCTTGCGCGAAACCTTCTGCTCCAGGGTGATGATTTGGCTTTCGCTGCTCCGCAAGAAATCCACGCACAGTGGATCGTTTTCCGACCAGCAATAGGCTATAGATTCCAACTGCAAGCTGGACAGGATTCAGAGATTATTTAAGCCACGAGATTCAAAGCTAAAAGCTTACCCTTTTATTTTAAAGACATGGATGTTGGCTCGATCCTGATCTCGTATGGTTGGCCTCCAGGGATAGACCTCGTTTTGGGATGACTGCGTCCACACCACAAACAAATCAAAGCTACCATTGACGGTCAGGTGGCGGGCTAGCTTACGTTCCGTGGCTCCGGGGATAATCACATGAAAGATCCGGGGATCCATATTGGCGATCTTCTCGGGACCCTGTGACCGTGAATTCGGCCGCTGTAGATGCACCACCGTCAGCTGGTTGGTATTGTAAGCCAAGACGATGTGGGAACGGGTGAAAAAAGCTGAAGACAGTACACACAAAAAACAAAAACAAAAACACAAGCGACAAAGCTGAATGAGTGTCTTGAACAAAACATTGAGGAAAGCTGTGGTTAGGAGGAGGGGGCTATGAGCATGGGGCATGGTGTATGGGGGTATGAGGTTCGCATATTTACAGGCAACAAAACAAGCAAGCAGATTAATTAAAAATTACAATAATTGCATGGCGGTGGATGTGTGCGTGCGGCTGTGTTGGTGTGGGAAAGTGCAAATCAAGTCGCACTTGTTGCCAATGCAAATTTCTCCATAACTGCACCATGGAGAGCAGCCAGGCCGGGCCAAGATCGAGGGTTTATCAAGCCACGACATCAGATATACACTAATGCCTAGCCAAGCTTTAGGAGCAAGTAGTTTATAAATTTAAAATAGAACACTTTAGTGGCCAAAATGGGTAAATTATGCGAATTGGTTGGAAAATTCCAAGAAAAAGAGTAACTGCCTCCAGCAAAGACCTAGCCAAGACAAATTACACCATAAAATCATGCGATTTAGATGAGATTTCCAATTGAAAGACGGAAAGACAGCCCCCGACGACTCACTCACCATCGGTGATGACCTCCGAGGCCAGTTTCCCCACCAGATACTTTTCAAACACCATCCGCAGTATGTCCCCGGTGTAGATATCCACGCATATGTGGCATATCAGACCGTTGGCGAATAGGAGCAGCACCTGGGCGGCGTCCTGCCATTCCGAGTGAATGATTCTATGCTGGCGCAATAGATCCTCCAGCTTCTTGAGGTTATCCTTGAGCCGTCCAGCGGACTTACGACTGCTGTTCTTCAGTACGGCCAGACCATTGCGGCGTTCGGTGTAATCGCGCTTGGCCAGCGATATGGCGTCCTGGTGCTCCTGCTCCTTCTCCCGTTGGCGCAGGTAGCGAAAGGCGCCCAGGTCATTGCCCTTGATGCGCACCTCGTCTCGCAACGTGGTCCAAAAGTGGGTCTCGCTTAGCAGCATTGTTGTGGCATCAGATCGAATCGGATCCGGACCAGATCGGTGGTAATCAGCGTTCGATTGCTCTCATTTGCATGGCCGCGGAATGGGTGTCAACTGCTCTCCAAGATGCGTTCTAGAACTAAAGGTTTTTTCCCTCCGAGAGTCCGATTGTTGGGTTACTTCGATTGCACTGTCTTCTACTTGGCCACGCGTGAATGTTTTGGATTTTTCGAATATTTACTAATCCGCGATCAACAGGTAATTTTCCAATTTTGTTGTGTTGTGATACACTTTTTTTTGCTGCCCTACCACGACTGGCTGTGGTGAGTTTCGATCAGCTGTCTGGTCATCGATCGTGAGTTATCGTTAATCGATATTTATTTGTATGACCGTTTTTAGAAAAACTGTTAGGCAAAAAATTCAAATTTTATAGAAATTTACTTAGATTGTTTAATTACTTGGGGATAAATTTAATATTACTAAAAGAAAAAGAAGCTATAATAACGCTTGAAAATCGGATGAGAAGTTAGCAACCTGAAGCGAATTTTGAAACTCTCTCCAATTCTAATTTAAAGGCCATACATATGTTTTATGAAAGTTTTAATATAAAGTCAAATTCTATTTAAAAAAAAAATATTTAAAAAAAAATAAAAAATGTAAAAATAAAAATAATAAAAATAATTACAACAAAAACCAACAAAAACATCAAAAATTACAATAACAACTTAAAAAGACAAAAAAAAAAAAAACAACAAAATTCATAAAATAAAATAATTATTTTCCGATTTTCGAGCTTGCTTAGGTGCAACCTATGAGAATCGAGGAGGAGGGCACTATTTTTTAAATTAATTATTATAAATATTTTATTGAATAGTTACCAAATTAAAACAAATTCAGGCAAGTTATCATACGCAAAAAAACGGTAAAATGTTACTCTTCGTTACTGTGGGAATTCTAGGCGCCCAAAAATGTAGGCAATGGAGGTATGATTCTTCACATTTTCAGATTTATAATTTATAGCCATGATGTTTTCCTTAAGAAATTATAGATGAATTATGTTTTTGTACAAGCTTCGTAAGCTTATCTATCGTGGCAACTAATCATCAGCTTATATAACACAGTTACTTAGCAGATATAACTAAATTACAAAAAACGAGAAAGGAAAGCTAACTTTTGGCGGAGTCGAAGTTCATATACCCTTGATAGCTTGACCCTTGACCTTTGATAGTCGATAGCTTCAATACTGAGACTCTAGTTCGTGTAGACCCAGACAAACAGACGCACAGACGGACAGAGATATAGCCATCACTGTGGGCCATATAGGGGAACTCTACATTTTCAAGGGATGCCATCAGGAAAAATGGACAAAAAATCTGAAAAATATTTTCTCTCAGGATTTTGATGCAGAATGGTGGAGAATCGATCTAGAAATCGATTAAGATACTCCGCTTGAGAATCGGATGAGATTTGGGGAAGTTATAGCCATCACTGTGGGCCCTATAGGGGAAAACCCCATTTTCAGGGGATCCCATCAGGAAAAATGGACAAAAAATCTAAAAAATATTTTGTCTCAGGATTTTGATGCAGAATGGTGGAGAATGGATCTAGAAATCGATTAAGATACTCCGCTTGAGAATCGGATGAGAATTGGGGAAGATATACCCATCACTGTGGGCCCTATAGGGGAATACACCATTTTCAAGGGAACCCATCAGGAAAAATGGACAAAAAATCTAAAAAATATTTTGTCTCGGGATTTTTATGCAGAATGGTGGAGAATCGATCTAGAAATCGATTAAGATACTCCGCTTGAGAATCGGATGAGAATTGGGGAAGATATACCCATCACTGTGGGCCCTATAGGGGAAAACCCCATTTTCATAAAGATCGGTCGACTATAATAATTGTTGGCTAATATATTCCTCTCTGTTCTGGCCTTCTGTTTATGAGCTATTAATAAATCATCTTATATCAGTTATCCTAAGAAGTTTATTAACCTGGGACAGCTTTTATTAGCGACAGTCTGCGATTGAAAGTTGAACTATGTTCGAGGGTCTGCAGACTTTCCAGCTGATAAGATAATGCGTTTATTCACGACCCACTCCGGCACTTGGGGCATTAAGCAATAAAGACTTGGATTATTTTTAAACAAAATTGTTGTATTTATTGATTTCACCATTAAATCAGATTGCAATCAATTATTCACAGTAGTTTTCTTGTTTCTTTGCTCGTTATCAATGAAATACGTTTTGGGGGCACTATAACTTATAGTGGTGCTCACTAACTAGTTAACTAAAGAACTAAATAAACAGCAATAATAATAATAATAATAATAATAGTTATCAGTATGTGGTAGAAGTAATGGTAACTAAAATGTATATCGCATTTGAGGAAACTTAACGGAAACGGTGTACAATTACGTATACGGATCGGCGCAGTGCAGCTCGGATCGGTTGGTACTATTTATATTAGTATTATTTTATATATATAATTTAGCGGCTTCTATTGGCAACTGCGGCCGATTCAACATTTTGTGCTTACCAACTAACAAAACTAAAGGGAGCCATTTCATCTCATCTATTTACAATACACTCTGAGCGAATCGAATTCTATTTACATAACTATATCAAAATATCAACCACGTTTATACATTCACATATAATTGTATCTTTAACTAAATAGCAGCCTTTTCAAATTTTGATAACGTTTTTCAGCGAATCCATCGAATAAAACTTTTCCTCGTTGCCTCCCCTGGACAGTAGCTACTGCGAATCGGTCTTCTATATAGCTATATAGCATATATTTTTTAGCTTGGATTTTGGATTTTGGAGGTGGTTATATCCGATCGTGGTGCGTGTTTGCTTCGTTGGCCAACGTTCAACGTTTAACGTCTCAAGTCTATCGAGTTCGTTTCTTGTTTTTTTTTTTTGGTGTGACTTAGAAGCTAGTTAACTAAGATTTGCGCTCGTTGGTGTCGATCGTCTAGAAAAAGGATTACAATTACAGATAGGTTGCAGCAGTCGCGTCTACATATGCACAGATTGGGTTTCTCCTCATAGTAAGTATATGTATGTAAGTGTGTTAACTAATCGTCCCCAGACATCCAGATGGATTCTTTAAAAATCGTAGAACTCATTGGACTTGTTGTTGAATCGCCGGGTGAGGACATAGACAACCGCTTCGTAGGTGGCCATCATGATCGCCGTGTTGGGAATCTGTCGCACCAGCTGTGTGGCCAAGCCTCTGTAAAGGAAAACAATAAAAAACAGAGTTGAGTTACTACGCAAATAGCAGTAATTATAGTATAAATAGCCCCAGTGATAATCAAATTAAGGTAAACAAACATACACATAAAAAAAAAATTGCGACGCAAAAAAGAATGAGTTTAAATAGATTTCACGCCCGTCGACCGAATTCGTGGGTGGCGCATTATGATAATTCATTAGCAAATAAAATAGCAAAAAAATATATATAAGAATTGGCACTTTTTGCAGAGCATCCGTATTGGCAAAAAATGTTTGTTTTTTTTAAGCGACAGTCTGGGAATATATTCTCAAAATATAGACATTTTCTATAAATACAAAACGCCTTTAAAATATGGTGCTCTTACTAATCAGATTCATGTTTTTCAAATGGGATTCCCTTTGAATCAAAGCCATTAAAAGGTGAATACTTATAGACCTCAACAATATGGGATTTCCATAAAAAATGGGAACCACATTATCTACTATCTACTATCTTATATTTTAAATCCCACATACCTATACAGTCCTGCCCGGCCCTCCTCTTTCCAAACAGTGTGCAGGGTTTGCCAGAAGGAGTTGTATTTGTTGCCCTCCTCCCGCAGGCGAGTACGTGCCACCTCGTGGGGATACGCGATGCAGGAGGCAATCGTCTTGGAGACGGCGCCGGCCATCATGAACTCGAGGAAGTCGCGGGAACCTTTAGTGTCTGTATGCCGCTGATTTCGCTGCTCCAACTGGAATTACATTTTTTAATCAAAAAACTTAAGATTTAAGACCAATCTTAATGCTTACCAATTTCGATTTAATAAACTCGTAGATAACAAAATGAACCATAGTCTCGCAGATGCCAAAATAACTGGCCGTGATTCCCTTGTAGAAAGCCGCCACACCGCCCTGGGCATAGACCCGCTCGATGCACTGCCTCACCGTCATCTGGACCTTGGAGTTGTAGTCGAGCTGCATTCGCGTCTTGACAAACCAAATGGGATTCGTGGCCGTCGAGGAGACAAATCCAGCACTGGCTGCGCTCATGATGTGAACCAATGGCGAGTCACGTTCAACAAAGCTGGACATTAAACAAAAATCAATATTTGAAATTGGAAATATTAAGATTCAAGTAGACTTTACCCCAAACTGTTGAGCGTGTTCTTGGTCTGCGAGTAGGTGCAGAAGTAGATGGCACGGGAGGGGGCCACGCCCACGAGATTCGGTCCCAGACCTTTGAAGAGAGCGCGGGGACCCTCGTTCTGAACAATATGTCTAAGAATTATAAAATATAATTAGTTTCTTAGTTTTAAATTTAAATAATTCCATTCTACCTCAGACATTGGATGATGCTCATGGATTTGGGTGTTGTCGAGGAGATGCCGCAATGTGAAATGGCCATTATCTGCAAGATTTAATAAAGATTTAATTAATTAAGCTATTAAAACATAGGTGATATTAATGAAGATGGAGGTATTGAAGTTACTGAGTAGATGTCTTAGGGATTAGAGCTAGTTAGGATGGCTTTGGCGATATAATGGGCATGAGTATAGGCATGAGAATAGGTAAAAAAAGAATTTGGTACTACCCTACGCACACCCCCAATCACCTGTGGCTGTGATCTGTTACGTAATATCGTTGTGCTTAGCTTACGTCGTTGTTCCGGCCGCAGCAGCTCCGATTGGCCGCCGTTCGCCGGTCCGCCGGCGTTCTCCACCAGCCGTGCCGGCGTCATAAAGGCCGTGGAGCTCTGCAGACGCGTCTTAACCACCTCCAGGGGGCATGTGACCACGGCGCCAACTGTGCCAGCGGATCTGGAAATCGTAAAAATAAAGGAAATAAATAAATCAGAATGAGTAATGTTTTTAAAGTGGTTTTCTAAAAATAGTTTTCAGAATTTCTAGTTATATAATATTTTAAGACCCTTGTTCAATTATCATAAAAATAAATAACATTTGGCAATCGACTCACAAAAATATCCATTTCCCAAAATCATATTTCTTCCATTTGCGCCAATGCCTTGACTAAAAATATTCTCTCCCACTTAGTATATCCGACTAGAATGATGTTAAGTATACAAAGTCCCAATTCCATTACAAAATCAATAGCAGAAAGTGTGGGTCTTTTTTGATTGGCTGGCATTGTGGTTTGGGAAATCAAACACCAGGAGAAGGAGAAGGAAGCCCTGCCCATTAAGTAGTTCATGCAAATTATAGAAAATTTTCTATTTTTCGATTCATTGCACATGCCAAGTGCATGTGAAACAAGGTCAGATAATTGTTTACTGAATTGTGAAACATGTTTTGAATATATGTAGAATATTATCTATTGGATATTCTTTGCTTAACAAAGAGTTCAAGTCCTCAGCCTTGACTTTAAAGTTTCCGATAATCAAGATTATAACATTTGTTTACACCTTCCGAAAAAAATAGAAATTAATTATACACGACCTTTCCCAAAATGAAACAGAAAAAAAGAACCAACACTGATTACTTCTATCAATATCAACAAACACGCCAACTTGTTGTTATCTAGCAAATAAATTTCAACGAAGCCCAGGGACTCGTGATCGCCAACTTGTAAATTGGCGGTTGGCAACTGGAAATAATGAAATTAAATTATAATAATCCGGTGGGCAATAAACCCAGCCAATGGGGAAGAGTTATGTAACAAAGAACAAAACCCGGAAAAGGCGAAAAGTCTGTGGAAATGACAAAGAAACACAATGGCAAAAAGTTTGATCGATGGAACCGAAAAAGGACACCGACTTCTGGGGACAGTCACGAACAGCCACGCCGCCTTTTTGGTTATAGAATCTAGAACCGAGGGAATTTCACAAAATCCCCCTGATGTTAAGTATGACGAACCGGTGGCAACTGGTTATGGATCGACCCGGCTCCTACTACCGATAACCTTTGATGGCCGGCCCAGTCGGCCGATGAATTGCAGTGGCCGGGACCGGATTAGCTTATCAGCTAATAATTCCCGGCTATCAGCAGGCCACGTCCATTAAACTATAGTACATCTATAGCTCGAATCTGGTATTCTACACTGACTGACATAATTGATCTGGAACCGGTGAAAACACGCCACCATATGCTTGACACATATTCGAGGCTCCTACTCCAACTCTCTGGCCAAACACCAAATTAATTGTGATTAATCAATGTATTAACGGGAAACTCGTCTATTGAATTTCAATTAGCATCTGGCTGGGACATCACGCGAAAATAAAGCAAACTGTCGGCCGATGACAAAAACGCAATTTAGCCAGACAGTTGGACAAACAATACAAGGATAAGTATGATTTCATTGGAATGGTTTAATGACTTGGCTATAATGGGTTTACAAACCTATTAGAGATTGCCTTACAAATCCACAAAAGCAAGTCATGCTTCTCACAGCTTCCCAAATATTATCAATGATACTTTGTATGAATTTTTATAAAAAATCAGTCTAGTCATCTCTCCACGTAAATCGTAATATCAATTTCCTTTTAATAAATAATTGTTTTGACAATCAAAACAGCCATGTTTACCCCACAAATATGTTATAAATTTTTGAAGAATTTCACATCTTTGTATATAGATTATATATATTACAGATGCACCAATAGATCGATGGCCTTTTGGGGTGGCACATGTGCAAAAATCGTGCCATATTTAACCGGTTAATGTGCGATTTATCTGTTCTTTGACATTTGTGTACAAAATACACGCGCTTGGCCCCCCTCCGCGATAAGAGTGGAAATTTTGGAGCCCAGCAGACATTATTTTTTTTGTTCGAAAAAGAAGAACAATTCGCGTAATCGTAACCGTAACCTTCACATGTTTCTTGTGATAATTTCAATTACCGGTGCGTCATCCCCACGTTTGGGGTGACTTTTGTCCAGCTGCTTGGAAATGACTTTCCTCGGTATACCTCTTAGGCCCCCCAATATATAAAGTTGATAAAGTAGTCTTGGCGGGGGCCTCTTTCCAGACCTGGCTGGCTTATCTTAAAACACAGAAAAAATACGCATATTTCAATGCTTTTTGCGTTTCGCAGACTAACATTGACGCTTATCAATGCGGTTTGTATTTTGTTTCTATTTTCGATTGCCAAATCGATGGAAAATTTCACGATTTTTGTTTGTAGGTCAAAGAAAGTACAAGTTCCCTTGTACTTTTAGTGAAAAATAAGAGATTATTTTAACTATTTTCTTAGTATTTAAATTTTAATGTGATGGCTTTTAACCTACAACAAAGCTGAGTCTTTTTAATTGGCATTTAAAATAAACTTGGCACGAGACTTTTATTAATTTCCCATCTTTTTCTATAAGCATATATATTATATAGATATTATTTTAATAAAATTTGTGTCTCGATCAAGAGTAGAAATATAGACAAAAGCCCTTGACATACATACTTTTAAATATGTAACATAGAAGAAAATAATATTCTTTCTAAACCTGGAAGCACCTTGCTTTTTAGAGGATTTCCTTGAGATACAAATGTATCTAGATATATTTTCTACCAAAAATATGCGTACGTGAGAAGAGACATGACAACGAAAAAAGGCCCAAAACAGAGAGAACATATGTAGCTTGTTTTGACCAGGTCAAAACCAAAACAAAACCCAGCTGATGGAAAATTACTGGTTATGAAATTTTATAAAAATCTAAAGCTTTTTTAAAAAAATAAATGAAATAGCAAAGAGCTTATTTACAACTGACATTGTTTGTTTTGGTAAGACCCCTCCTGCCCCTTTCCCCTCGAATACCACCACAATGTTGTTTGTTGCATTCGTTCGCCTTCAACTGAGTCAGTGTGCCAGAAAAAGTTTATTTGCCTGGCTGGGAGCTGGTAGGAGGGGGGGACTGTGTGTTGTTGTCTGGTAAGAAAAACCAAAACAAAATTCAAATCGCTTGCCAAGCTCAATTTAGATTTCTTTCTAGACAAGTATATAGTATTAACTATTGGTTGGGGATATAGAGAGACAAGTGTACAATAATATATATTTTGCCAAATCAGACAAAATAAACTCTTGTGAGAATAAATTCCTAAACTGTCGGAACAAATTTCACAATTGTTGCTAATAGCTGATTGTTAGAGATATTTTACATAAGATTTTATACAATTTTCTATATCAGGACTATTTAAGATTTAATTTATAAATGGTCTTTAGGGCTATAAAGTCTATAATTTATTTTAGCTTGTCAAGATAGCTATATGGAACTGTTTTTAATCAAAGGGTTCGGAGCTAGTTACCTTGTCTTTGTTAAAAATATTAGTTATTATAATATTTAAGAATCTTTTTTATATTTCTGACCCATATTGCAATCTTGATATTGTCTGCTTATGTAAGACTTAGTCGCCTTTAGTGGCTTTTGATGCTTGATTAGATGGATGCACAAGTCGTTTAATTGTTTGCTTGCTGGCTTATTTATAGAGATAACAATTAACAATGTGTGTAGCAGGCAAGGTTGCTTTTGTTTTTGTTTTTGTTTTTGTTTCTGTTTTCATTGCAACAACGTGTCCCCAACACGAGTTGCGGTTACAACCAACTAAGGGGGCGAGGATTAAGGCGTCTCTTGCTGCAACGTGAATTCCATTCCCTTCTACTGTTTCTCTACTTAAAGTATATATATATTATAGTATTTACAGACATTTGTGTGTGTAAACAAAGTCCACAAAAGATATAGGGGATATACATCTATATAGTGGAAAGAAGTCTTACGACAATTTGTTCACATTGAAACCCATACTATTGTACATTTGTAGAGGTTGTTGTTTTTTTTATGTTTCATTTTTTTTGTTATTGTTGATAAGTGGCTTTAAGCTGCCGGCCGGCAAATTGTACGACCATTCAGAGGTTCCACTGGGGATCAAAAATTGACTTCAGAAGCAAATAATAGAGGGGGGGTAAGTCTGATTAAAGGCCACTGTCAAGGCAAAAATTTAATAAAAGTCTAGGAACTAGTTGGATTAGTGGATCTCTCTAGCACTTCTCATTTTTCACCTTTTGTGAAGGAAAAACTCATTTAACATTGGGTGTAAAATTAAACAAGTATCAGCTAAAAATACACCTTCAAGATACAAAAAAACAGGCCCTCTATTTTTCAAGCCCTCCTCCGCCGCATTTGCATACATTTCCCGAATGACCAGCTCGACTCCGGAACAAAAACAATAACTTAAAAGCTGAACTCCTCATGTGTGTGTTTCACCTGGCTTTACCTCACTTCCCGCTTCAATAAACAAACAAAAAATATTAAAAAAACAGGTTTATGCTCTTATGAAGTATTTAAAATGCGCATAATACCTTAATTTTTGTAAAATATTATAAAAAATATGAATATTTGAACTAATTATGAGAACTTAAACGATTTTATGATTATTACAAACCTAATCTCAGCATTATATGTAAATAATTACTAAATATTATTAGTAAAATATTGAAAACATATTATTTTATCTTCAAAACACAATCATATTTCCCAATTAATTAATCTCTATTACTATCTCTACATATTAAATACCTAACCAATATCCCCCAAAGTATGTGCGTAGGGTACTCGTAAAAACAAAAATAAATTCAGATGCGACAAGTCTAAAAATAGCCACCATAAAAGCAACAATAAAAATAATAATAACAGACTGAACTGAACTGAACAACAATGCAATTGAAGCTTCTCGTTTGAAGCTTGTCGTTTTTAATGAAATTGGACATTGCTTTTGGGGAAATGAAATCAGAAAAAAGTAAACCGAGAATTATGACAAAAATGAGGGGGCATTTTTGGTAAAGAGACCTACTGATTGTTTTGTTTATTTATAATTGTTTGTTTGTTGCATGTTTTTCTATCACTTTTTATTGGTTTTACGTCAAATATTTGGCTTATCTGGCCAGTGATTTCGCCAGCTGTGTCGTTCCCGTAAAAATAAAACACGTGAACGGAGCATGTCGACCATAAAAATGTCGTTCTTGGTCTCTAAAGGGTATTATTAGGTGACTAAAAAAAAAGGTTTATAAAACTTACTTTTTTCATGAAATTTCTAAACTATTTCGTCATCAAATTTTCAAGATTTTTAGGGTTTTCCTTCGCAAATCTTAATATAAACTTTTTAGTATATAGGATGTTTAATCTTCGACTACCTCATAGTGTTTGTATCTCCCAGTTTTTGGCCTTTATTTCCTTTTTGGCAATGGCGCCAAAAGTATTCAATTCACATTCCCCTTACGATCTCAATGGATTCGAACTAAATCTAATCGCAATTGCGACGTTCCCGGGCGGGAATTAAACTACAATTCCAAGAGAAACCGGTTTCGGTTGACTAGCCTGACCTGCGATAAGACGCAATACTGGCTAGAAACCGGGAGAGTCCAACAACAACAACAAAGTAATAGAAAACTAATAGATTCCACTTACCCGCCGGCAATCAGATGGATGAAAGTATCTGCTGTGTTTTGGGCCATCTTCTTCTGCTTCTGTTTATCACTCTCTCTGTCGTGCACACTCTTCGCGTTTTTGGGGATTATTGAAATAGCTTTGCGTAATTATCGCGCACTTGGAAAACGCGATTTTTTTTTAAGGCACGTCGCGAAATAAAAGCGCGTGGGTGGCGGACTAGGGGCGTGGAGGGCGGAAGGCGGGCCCCAAAGCTTTGGGGTTCTTAACCCGCTAACTGCAATCGCTTACACACTCCTCCTTTTCTTTTTTTTTTCTACTTATAACTTGTTTTGTATTATTTCCCCAGGAGAACCTTCGTCCTTGTTGTTGTTGTTTTTATTTTGGTGCAGCCAATTTTTTTTTTTCGGCAATGACCAGTTATGCAACTGCAGCAGAAATCACTGATAAGTCTTATCTTAAGGTAGCATAAACGTTAATGCGCACGGCGCCAAGTAAATCGAGCACAATTCGGTAAAGTCAATTCCGACTCTTCGGGTTGAGGTTTTGTATGAAAAAAACATGGACTTTTTGAGACTTCTATGGATTGTCTTGGGGCTTATGGCACTATGGAATTATCTGGGGGGTTTCCGATACAAGCATATGCGGTCGCACTTGGAATCAGCTGGTCTATCGAAGTTTGGCCTGGCAACGCCTTTCGAACGATAGTTGGCAACTCTAATCGGTTAAATGACTTCTGGCGCTAAATTACAAAATTTTATTAAAAACCCACGATATAGAAATAAAATTTGTTAGTAGAGCTAAGATCTGGAAGCTATAAAATTCATCGATAGAATAATTATAAGCCTAGATAGCAATTTACCTGGAATAGATAGATGCGGGGAACCTTCTTAGCCAAGTTTAGATGGGAGTTTAAAATGCCAACTTTTAACACACATTTTAGTCAATATTTGAATCATTTCGAATCCGATTTCCAAAAGAAATGCCATTTACGAATCAGGAATCCAATTGCCACAAAACTGTATTAAAATATGATAAAAATGTGGAAATAAAAGTTTTGGTCCATTTTTGGTCAAAATCACGATGTTACCCCTCTGAAAATTTTCAAAAATCGGATCAGATTTTAGATTCCCAGGTTTTGATGTAGGATTGTTCTACTTAAAGATCTTAGATCGGCAAGGTATAACATTCTTTGATCAGGTAATTAGAAGTCAAGTTATGACCATTTTTCTGAAATAAATGTATACCAAGAAGCTTGTAGACCTTGTAGTGGCTTAAATGTGAACATTTGAGACACATTCTACTGAATATTTAAGCATTTTCTAATCGGGTTTGGAAAAGGAATACCATGTACGAAACACGACTCAGTCAATAGTCAAAATGAGCTCTGAACGTTCTTCTCAAAAAATCAAAATAGTCCACTTTTTAGGCATACAATTTTTAGTGCCATCATTCTCATCTGAAATAAGAAAAAAGTTAAAACGACTTGTCGAATATTTTATTTGTATTGAACACTCAACAGCTTAAAGACTTTATTTATTGATCGATATCGATTTATTGCATTTTTCTCAACATTTTTTTCTGCTGTAGTTGTATTGCTAGGTTCTAGTAGACATTTCTCATTGGTTTGGCATTACTGTTATTACCGTTATGTTCATGATGCAGGATTGCATTCTGGCTTACTAACTAATTAATAATTAAAATTGAATTATGAAAATTTCTGATAAATCTTTGTCTTGGTTTAGTTGTTTTTGTTATGTTGTAATTGTCCATTATAGGTTATGAAATTTTCCAAGTTTTTGGTACAGAATTTAAGAGACATTTCAACTATTGCTTTCTGTTGGTTTTTGTGTGTTTCATTGTTTTAACAGCAATTATAGTCGATTGGCAACTTCTTTGGGATAAATGCACTTTTCATATTGCTGGGCTTGAATAACTATTGTGAATGGATGTGTGTTTGGCATCCCAGTGTGTTTCAGTGTTGGTTAAGCGCATTTGCATAGACTCCGATTCGAGTTGGATGTGTAAATATATTCCTCTACATGTATACATGGTATTATTATTGTTAGTATTGCATTTGCTTGCATCTTTTAGTTAATATATTTATCTATTTAATAGCCTTGCATAAACGTTTCTCTTGTTTTGTTTGTGACACGCAAAAACAGTGTTGTTAAATTACAAAAATATACTATGTGTTTTGTTGGCTGTTCCTCAAAACTTAAGCTCTAATAATAAACCCGAATAAACGCAAAAAACTGTACTGTATTATGATATAATATTTATTTGCTTGTATTTTGCAATTTTTAATACATTTTTCTCATATTTCTCATTTTTTTTTCACTTATTACAATACAAAAGGTACGAAAGGCGCGAGAAACTCCGCTGGGGGAATCCATGAACCCCACACACGGAATTTACACTAAAAATTGACTTAATTGTGAAGAGTTAACTGAATTAATCATTTCTCAATTTCTCAAACGAAGAAGCTTAAACTAAACCATGATGTTTCTTGTGTTTTTCAGCTTAAACTTAACATTGTATTTCATGTGGTTGGATATTTTATGTTTAATCATTGTTTAATACTTAAACGCTACATTGCTGGAAAAGATAAGGTGACAATTGTTTGTTGGTGTTTCTTCTGTTGGTGTTTTTTTTTTTATTTATATATAGGAAAACTTGACTGAAAAGCGGCAACTAGTTCGAGTATCTGTTATATGCGTTGCTTCTAACATTTTTTTTGGGAAGGATCTTTCGGGTGCGGATCTTAAAAACTATCTCCATTATTCGGCGCGACAAAGTAGGGAAGCGAAGCGGAAGAGCCGCATCCAGCTAAAGAGCTTCGACTCCAACAGATTCTCCTCCGCCGTCGAGGTGGTCATCGATACCCGCGACGAATTGGAGGACTTGCTGGTCCGTTTCTGCTGCACAATCCTGGGCGAGCTCATCTTCATTATCGAGTAAGTCGTCTTGGCGGCTTCTGATTGCACACGCCACAAATGTGGGCGTGGGCTACGGGGTCACAAGCGTGGAAAAGAACGAAACGCACAAGCTGAAATGAAGAGAGAGCAGAAGAAGGTGAGGGGATTAGTCAAGTGCTATTCAAAGTGGCAAGTCAATGGGCTCAGTCGCTGAAGTATCACTCGACGACAGGATGCCGAGTGACATTTGAGCGGCAGTCAGCAAATACCCAAAAAATCCCCATCAAAAAGGTGACTTGAAGAGGGATAATACTCTAACTTTTATAGATAAATATTTTTTTTACTAAAATGAACCTGAGAATGTACATAAATATTTACCAAAAACCAAGCTAGTTATTGTTTTCAAACAAAAGCTAGTCACTTTTAATCGCAATGCTCCATTGGCTCCATCGGGGCATTAACACACACCCATGGAAAACAAAAAAAAAAAGAAAACATGCCCAACCATCCAAAGCTGATGACCTTGCCTATATGCATAGACAACACATGCCCGTAGATACACATACAAGATACAGATACAAATGTATCTCTGCAAGCCAAGCCGTGTTGTATGCCCAAAAAGAGGCCCAAATCGAAACGTCGGGGATTGCATGCATGCTCCAGTTTTTCCACATCTGGATATAGCCAGGCACCAGAGACCGATTCAATGACAAAACTTAACGGTTCGTTACATATAACTAAAGAGCAAAAGGCACACAAATTGTGCTCTGTGTACGAATCGGATATGTAAACACACACAAAGTACTGAAATTGATGTTTGCTTTAATTGGACAAAATCCTGTTTCTGTTTCTGTCCCTGGCTAAAGATTACACACGGCCGACAAAGATTGTTTGTTCTACGTCATTCGTAATTATGCAATATGCAGCACTATCCTATCCCGCCCATCCACCCAATTTTCCACTCCCACTGTCTCTAGCTTGTGGCAGCAAATTAATTTCAATTTCCAGTCAAGTTTTTACAATCGTTTCTAGCTTTTTTTTTGTTCCCCCCCCTTGTTTGTGTCAACATCTATGGCGACAGTCCAAAAGTGCAGTCCCGCTCATAAAACATTTCCATATATCAATTGTGGCAGCAACAGCAGCAATAAAAAAAAGCTTCGCCAGCAGCAGCTATCTTTTTCCGTCCACGCGACAACATAAAAATATTGTTTGAGTTTCTGTATTTCATCTTGTCGGTTTCTGGCTTTTCTTTCATTCTTCTAGCTTGTTGCTAAATAATTTTCAACTTTGTATGTTTTCCAAGCAATCTCTAGCTGGTGTCACTGCTCAAAATACGCCTGCGCATTCGCTTAGCTCATTATAATGCCGAGATCATGGTGATAGCCATGGCCCCAGAACACATTTCGAAAAAAACAGTTCTAGATATTCAACAAATGGGATGGAAATTCAAAGCTAGACAAGAATTTCTGGAGGGCTATTATATGAAATTCCTCCTAAAATATCTTTTAACTGAGATACTTTTTTCTTAAAAATATATTCCCTAGAAATATATAGATTCCCTAGAATTTCTAGAAATATTTGTCCTTTAAAGTGCATTCCAATTTCGGTTTCCCAAAAAAATATGTAATCTGCAATCCAAATTCCCTCGAAATTAACAAATTCCCCCTCTACAGACTGATCCATTTTCACCACCGCCTCTGCCTTGGTTTCCATTTCTTTGCCTTAGCTTTGACATAAACATTTCGGGAATGAGAAATATTTTCTGTTTTCGTTGCTGTTGTGGGGCTTTAATCTTTTGATACCACGACTGCAGCTGCCGCGGTGTCAGTTGGGGCAGGATGGCGTGGCAAGGCCAGCGGGGCTGTGGGAGGGCCGGCTGGAAGATCGTGCCAGCGTGGGTGTTTCAAAGCTAACGGGCCAACACGATGCTCGCCCACATTTACCCCCCACCACCACCCAGTCCGACTACTTCAATGCCTTTTCTATTTCACAACCAGTGCGACACATTTTTCATTTTTACCTTTCCAAAGGGTATTCTCACATTTCGATAAGCTTTGGACAAACTATTTTGACTTTGAAAAATAAATTTTCTGGGGGTTTCTTCGAAAAACTGAAAAATCTTGATTACCAAAATATGTCACCTTCTGATTTCCATATCTTGGCCAATTCTTATCCGATCCTTGCAAGGAATACCTCAAAAGATTTGTGGGTAGATTCTCTATAAATCTGCATCAAAATCTTATCATCTCAATTTTTTTCAGATTTTTATTGAAATTTTCTGGATGACCCTTTCGAAAAGCTCAAAAACCTTGATTACCAAAATATGTCACCTTCCGATATCCAAGATATATCTTGGCCAATTCATATCCGATCCTTAAACGGAATACCTTAAAAGATTTGTAGGTAGATTCTCTATAAATCTGCATCAAAATCTTATGACACAATTTTTTTCAGATTTTTATTGAAATTTTCTGGGGGTCCCTTCGAAAAACTGAAAAATCTTGATTACCAAAATATGTCACCTTCCGATATCCATATCTTGACCAATTCTTATCCGATCCTTTAACGGATAATCTTAAAATATTTGTGGGTAGATTCTCCATAAATCTGCATCAAAATCTTATCACTTCATTTTTTTTCGATTTTCATTGAAATTTTCTGGGGGACCCCTTCGAAAACCTTGAAAAATCTTGGATCCCAAAATATGCCACCTTCCGATATCCATATCTGGGCCAATTCTCATTCAATCTTTGAACGGTAGACCTTAAATGAATTGGGATCGATTCTACATCAAAATTGTAAAACTTCAATAAAATAAAATTTATTAAAAAATTTATGGGAAGCGGGTCGAAGCAGATCACGTGGAAACTAATGAGGGAACTTTTACCTGCCCACCGGGCTCCCAATCACTCATGCTCTTCTCCAGCCCTCGCCCCACTCCCCCTAGTTTCTCCCTCTGTTCGATGACAATTTGGAGGCATTTGTTGTATTGCCCCTCCCGCTGCCGCACCGTCCGTCTGTCCGTTATCCGCCGGCACCGCGGGGCGTATGCGTGATGTTTTTATTGCCGTTAAATTAACCGAATGCCCAGGCATATTAAATTTTGGGGAGGGTGAAGGGAAGGAGGAGGCTGAGGGGAACTACTGGAGAAATGGGTGCGAACATGCAATACTTTAGATTTGTGGATATATCCACGAATTGGGGGCTTCGTGTCTCGGCCGCGGGTCATGGTCTTCAATATCCTGGGCGCCAAGCCATCTCGAGTGAAATTTATGAGTGTCGAGTGTTGGAAATCGAATATCTTTTGATGACGACGTTGTCTTTCGATGTAATTTGTGGCCCATCATGGTGTTCGCTGAAGCTTTATCGCCCACGCCGACAGCTCGACATATTTTAGGACCCGTAATGGGAGCCATAACAGCTAATAATACCGGGAAAAATCTCAAGAGGTCGGGTTTCCCCATTGTCTTGGTCCTAACACCTCCTCCACTTTTTTTTTTGCTCCCCTTTGCACTTTATTTGACGTCTCTGCATCACTAGTACGTATTTTTTTTCTTCTCCTAATTGGCTTCAATTTTTATGTTGCTGTTGTGCCGTTTGTTTCGCTTATAGTTTTCAAATATATTATATTTTTTGTTGTTTGTCACCGTCACCCAGCTCACATTGACCCACTTGGCGCCTGCTGTGCCTCTGCCAAAGTAACAAACAACAACAACAACAGAAACTGCAGTCTAAGCCTGAGGTCTGTGCCAAATTCAATTATCAATTTGGTGCTTTTCATGAATTTTTCATTTCCACTCTAGGTTTTCCTCTAGCTGGCTGCACAATTTCGAATGCGAAACATTCGTCACGAAAGTGACAGTTGGAAAAAGTCAAACAGGGTTACTTTTGACAGCCTGTCTCGAAGCCTAGTCTTGTTAGCCTGATTTTCGGAATTAGATTTGGAAACTAAAAGTAATGATAGAATTTTGAAAACACCAAACTCTCTTATTATCATCATTATGTGACCTCTTTCCCATCATCTATAATTATTAGAGTCTTGTTACATTTAGCATCTACCTGTTAAATCTGTAGCATCCACTTCCGTTGCAGCTGCTCTATCAGAAACTAGTAGTATCTAGTAGTAGTGCCTTTATTGTTCTGCTATCGTTATTATTATTGCAGCCAGGCAGCAGCAGCAACTGTCTGTCACTTACAGCTATCTACTTTCATGTCACTTGGCCTGCCGCCCTTTCTCTTTCTATGCCACGGCTGCTGTCTCTTTCGCCGGCCTGTCTCCGGCGGTTTCAATTGCATTTCAAATGAGCTCTGCTCGACACTGCAGTGGAATCCCTCTGGAGCTCCTCTGAGCTCTGAGCTGGTTCGGTGTTGTTATCAACGCGTGTGCCACTTCAGCGCGTTGCTGACTGACACAACCGCAACCGCAATATAGCAACAACAACAAATAGACGACCCACTGCCCCGCCCACTTGAACCGCCCAACCACTGCCTCTCACCCACCGCCCACTGTGACATACGTCTTAATGAGGCTTCAATATCACTTGTCAAATTGCCACACACAAGTGCAAAGTGCACTCGAAAAAAAGGCTTAATATTTTTGTTATGATTTAAAAAATGGTTTATTAAAGAGCATAATAATCTGCTCATATTACCACAGATATGTATGTATATTTCCTCTTAAATCTAGAACGGATTTAATTTTTTCTATCTGTAGAATTGTATTGTAATAGAGAGGCCCAGAGGCCTGGCGTTATAGAGGCAGATCTTTGTAAATAGATAACGATATCTAATTGGGTCAGGCTGTAGTTTAATACGCATATTACGCTTGATTGTAAGCCGTTTGATTGATTCAATGAATCTTAAATGGGAAACTGGAAAGCCTTGAAGCTTGGCCGCGCATTACATGACAAAATCGTTGATCTATAGGCTTCTCTTTATTTATGTTTTTTTGGGAGCGCCATGATCTCACCAAACTACAAGCTACAAACGATAAATAAATGACATCAGAGTTCGAAGAGGGGGGTGTAACACGTTCAACTTGAGGCGGCAATTAGAAGGCAGTATTTGAGAGATATAACTCATAAATATTAAAAAAACACACACACTCTCCACACTCGCTACTCGACGCTAA